TGTTGCTGTTGCTGTTGCTGTTGCTGTTGCTGTTGCTGTTGCTGTTGCTTTTCCTCCATCCCCCTCCTCTTTATTGCAAATCGCCAACCCAACTGCTCCTGATTCAGCACGCGTTTCCACACATCCCTTGGTAATGGACCGGATTGCTACTGGGAGTACAGCGCTAGCTCTGGGGGGGGGCTGGCATGCTTGTTTTCATCTTCTTCTTGCTGTCATTGCTCATTTCAGAGCCAAAATACACCCAAAATACAGCAAAAACTGCTTTTTCTTTCAAAATACTCGGTCGATTGCAACGATACTTCCGGATCAACTCTAATTCAATGTATTAAGGACGTCCGACACACTGGTTGTCTTTGTTATGGAGGGGAAGATGGTTTCTTTTTTATTACACTATGGAGTTCGTCGTTGCTGTTTTCACGATGATTTTTGCTGTAGCTTGGGTGTACTGTTTCTTCTAAACCACTCGGTCGATCAATCCGCTACTTCACGGTCCTCTTCCCCTTATTGTAAGGATTACAACACTTGTCTTGTGAGCGTGATTGGTTGGGTATTGATAAAGAACTAAGGAGGTGACAGCTTGCCTTGTTGAGGTTGATTAAATGAGAATATTTTGTATTTTTCGTGCGCTCAGAAATCAACAAGCCCGAAAAGGTTCTCTGACAGGAAACATATACAATATGGACATGTATTGAAAGAGGAGGGAAAACCCTTTCCGACTGATGGATTTTCTAATTCTGATTGGTGCTTTCTGCTGAGTTAACAAGCAAGCAAAGTTAGCAAAAAACTGGCGCGTTTTCTATACTCATAACCTGTTAGAAATCAATAGTCTTAATTCGAACCCAAATATGTACCTGGTACGTCTATCATACTTTTTAATCAAATTACTATGGCCCTTGAAAATGACCAACACGATTCAAAAGTACTTCTATCACAATGGGTGATTCCCGTTATTATAGAATCGTAAATGTGCTAAATCTAGGAGTTTGGCACTTCTGTAATAATGGGAATCAAAAAATCAACGGACAGACTGAGAGCAAGCCAGCCCTCATTTCAGTCTTTTTGGGAATCTGGAATCTTAACTACTATTCCTCCAACGTAAAGACTAAAAAGACTCAAAATGCGCGCCATTTGGTATTTGGTACTAAGTAAAACATGAAATTTTTGATACTAAGAAAAACATGAAAGGGATACACTATATGTTTGATACTAAAATCTCAGCGTATCAAAAAATACAGTGTATCACTTGCACTAAAACATGGACTGACATGAAATTTTCGATACTCAACAACTGCTACCGTAAACCATCTACTCATTTTCTGCTTATATTTTCAGTAGGAAATGAGTGGATTGATTTACGGCAGTAACTAGTAGAGTAACGAGGAGGAGCCGACAAACACACTAAAAGACCACAGTTTCCTCCCAGCAACAAGAAAGGCAACATCAAACATCGACAATGGGACTGGTGGAAGTGATAACAATGTACTGGTACCTTCAGTTGCACTCGGAGGAAGAGCATCAGAGCTACAAATGCCAACTGTCTTCCGAAGAGAGACGTCGTAGGGACAGGAGAACTCCTAGGATTGCAATCCGGAGATATGCTGATTCCCCTTTCATCTACATGTTCCACTCAGGGAATGACCAAGCTCTCCTCAACTGCTGTGGACTTGACCCAAGGAATTTCTCTGCTACATCCTTTACACCACTCCACATCTCAATGCTGTGTTGGTCTCTTCTTTCCTCTCTTTTGTCGTGATTGACAATGAATTGAGTGAAGGCTTCAGCATCAGGGACACTTGATTTCTTCTGCTGGTAGGCTCGCTTCTGGGCAACAGGGGTTGATGTTCTTAGAACAAGTGAAGGGGTCAAGACAGAAGATGCAGCTACACCGGCAGGCGTCTCCTCTCTGGCAACAGGGGGAACCTTGGGCTTCTCAGCGTTGGGCTTCTCCATAGTGTCCGCGTTGGGCTTCTCCGTAGCGTCCCCTTCATCACCTTCCTCTCCAGCAACCACAACCACCGGTTGTGGTTCTTCCACTTCAGCAAGAATATCAGCAGTGTCGGTCTCTAAAACATCAACATCCTCACTTTTAACATAGCCTTCAATCAGATCAAAGTCCTCCTCTCCAATACCAAAATTTGCCCGCCGATCAATCAAGATATGGGCCTGTCGTGCCGTCTTCACGTACTCTGGCATGTTTGGGTTTCCAGTGGAACTCTTGATCCTCTTTATGGCTGCATACTTCTTAGTCCTGATGGATGTCCTAGTCCTGAAGAAGGGCCACGATTTTGCGCGGTCAGCAACTATGCCGTCCCACTCATCATTACTAATGGGAACCCTGTCAAGTATCATGCCAATGAGACTGTTAAGCTCATCATGAGTGTAGTTTGCTACTCCGGCCTTACGACCACTGTTGCCTGCCATCTTTGGTACAAAGATAGTGTGGGGGATGGGACAATGGGGCTTCTCCCGTTGTTCCTCCTCCGGCTCTTGCTCTCTTCTTTGCTGTTGCAACAAAGACAGGAAATACAATGTACTTACTAAGAGCACAGACCKGGACATTATTCTTTATGTCCTTTCTCAAATACTTAATAAGAGGCGCCATGGTGCCAGTGTTGTTCTTGTCGGTAGGCATGGCGCATGCTCATCTCTTATTGTTAAGAAAAAAAAAATCTCAATTTTGTCGAGTTCTGTCTTAAGATTCTGGCGGGCTTTCTGTTGAGTCTTTCAGAATCTTTCAACGGACTCGAAATTTTGAATCATGAGTTCCATCATAAATTTTATTACTTTTGATGAGGGTCAACGGAGCTCATCAAACATAATAAATTTTTGTTATAAATGTGCTAAATTTTCGGTCTGTCAGTCTATCAAAAGTAGCACATCTATAATATCGGGAATCACCCAATCTTTCTTTTGATTTTTCGTATTCAACTTCGAAATTCTGAGGCGCGATATCAACACTTGGTGGTTAAAACCTGCGAAATGTAGACATGCTCCTTACTGTACGTTTAACTGGTGTTTACAATAAAGAGTGAGGTTATTCACTAGATACTCGTGATTCCTGTTGTTCCACGTATTTATCCTCACAGCAGCAAGACAAAGAAATTTCGAACCATATTGTTTTGCAATAATACAGTGTTGTACCACGTACTACGAATACTACAAATATCATAACAAATGATCGCTGTGAGGTAGTGCACATACCACAATCACGAGTAGCTAGTGAATAACCTCACTCTTTATTGTAAACCACGTATTATCATGCACTAGAGAGCTTATCAACATTTCACAGGTTATGAGCAACAACAGGACTCACCTCCTCATCAGACTCATCAACCATCATCAGACCGCAGCTTGATTTACTGCACAATCGCCACACTAAGAAATTGGTTCTCATCATTGATGATGCCATCCTTATTTTTTCAGTATAAATTCTACAGAGCTTTACTGAGTTTTGGTCCCAAAAATTTTCAGCATGAAGAAGCAGGAGGATTGGTTCTGCGTCACCAGAATAGTTGCAAACTACAGCCGTAGATGTTGTACTATGTTCTACTGTGCTAAGGATGGCATCAGTAAATTAACGATGGGAACCAATTTCTTAGTGTGGCAATCACTTGTTATGATATTCGTATTAAGGCCCTATTTTCAGAAGAGATTTTGATGCACAAAATGACTCTCCTCGAAAAAAAAACCAAAACAGACGACTGACATAGAAATGGATCAAGACACCAAGAAAAATACGAGCAAGGGCGAAAAGAAAAACATGAAAAGCAAAAAGAGCAATCAGAACAAAAAAAACAAAACGAAGAAAGACAAGAAAAACGATAGAAAAAGGGACGATGTCGCGGACGCAATCCCGAATGTCCTTGATGTGACTCCTATTGTGGCTGTTGCTCCTATTGCGGCTGTTGCGATCCCACTTCCAGACGATATACACCCCGACCAGCACTACACACCGCCAGTTTCCGCCCAATCCAACACTACGGATCACCAATTTCCAAATGAGGGAAGTATCAACCCTGTGATCTATCCAGTGGTGAGCGAAATCGCCGCTGTCGCAGTCCCTCTCCCGGACGACATCCATCCCAACCAACACTACATACCGCCTGTTTCCAACCAGCCCAGTGCTATGTTTCCCAACCAGGAAGGCAGAAACCAACCAAACATTGGTTCGCCGATAAGTGGCAACGGAAATGTAAAACTGAAAGACCAGGGCTACAGTTCAGGACTGATTTATTCAATTGGCTTAAACAACGTGATATGCCCACTACGGATATGGGTCGTGGACAACAGCGGATCCATGAAGAAGAGGGATGGTCACCGTATTTCTGAGAATAAAAGAACCAAGCAACCTTTTCTTCTCGAATGCACGCGATGGGCTGAGATGCAGGATACTGTGGAATACCATGCACGAATGGCAGCACAACTCGAGTCCCCGACAGTTTTTCGTCTCCTGAACAAAGCTTCTACAGGCCAGCAGCAGTTTAGTATTGGTGAAAGAGGCCATCAATTCATCCAAGAAGATCTGAATATCGCCTTGGAAACTATATGGCGTACAGTTCCCAATGGTAAAACACCCCTGGTGGAGCATATATACCAAATCCGTTCAGTCATCATGCCGATCAGAAACAGCCTCTGCCAGGATGGACAGAAAGTGGTGGTGGTCATTGCAACCGACGGGCTCCCAACTGACAGCTCTGGAACTATTTGTTTAGAGCGCTTCAAGGTTGCACTCCGATCACTGCTTCAGCTACCTATTTTGCTTGTGATCCGTCTCTGTACAGATATGAAGTCAGTGGTAAAATTCTACCACAAGCTTGACGCTGATCTTGAATATAAGCTAGAAGTTTTAGATGATTTTTTTGGGTGAAGCCCGCAAGGTTTATCGTTTCAACCCTTGGCTCAATTATGCCCTGCCCTTGCACCGGATGCGGGAGATGGGCTTCCACCACAAAACCTTTGATTTGCTGGATACACGGCTGCTGACTAAGCATGAGCTGTTGAACTTCTTTGTCCTTCTCTTTGGAGCTGATCAAATGGACGGCATTCGGGATCCATGTACAGACTGGAAGGCATTTCTAGACCATGTCTCTGKGGTGATCAACCAAGAGAAATTGCAGTGGCACCCTCATTTTGGCGCAAAAAAACCATGGGTGAACATTAAGAAACTTAACCAATGCTATGTGGACGGGAATATGACACAGTGGCCACAATCCAATTGCCGGTGTACCATCATGTAGTGTAAAGCTATTCATTCTGAACCAATATTTGTTAGTTTTGAATGTTGAAAGCTCTATTTGTTGAATTGATGTGCTCCATGTTTTTGTGTTTTATCACAAGGCCTTCTCCAGTCATGAAGCAGAAAACAACACAATTTCCTATCGACACAAACCATTTATAATATTGTTTAACCTGACTTTTACTTTAAAAATAGTTTCTACTAGTCACAGGTTTGAATTTATGGCATTAGAGCTATTGTTACCAGAAGTATGATTTGAAGGCCTCCTCAAGAAAGGAGGTGTTTTGTAGTATTTGTTTCTTGATTTTTGGGTGAATTTCTTTTCACTTTGGGTAGTACTTGGTGTGTTGCATTTCAAAACATGTACTATTACAAATTATCGGCGGCCGATTTTCAAATGAAGTAGGAATGTATATTCGATGCACAAGCACATGTGCATTAGGAATAGCGTTGCTCCGTCATCCCATGTTGTTTCACACACATAGCTTTCGAACAGAGACCAATCCAAAACCACGTGCTCTGGCACCTGCGGTAGGCTCTGCTAGACACCCTCTTCCGTAGATCCTTCGACTCCATGCTCTACTTGCGATGCCGATGGGGGGTTGTCGAAGGAAGTCGCCAACAGCTCCTCGTCGCCGGCCGAAGCATCGGTGTTGTCCAAGAGCGGTTCCTCCAATTCGTTGCGGCTTGGGTTGTTGCCGGTGCTGTTCCTTCGTCTGCCGCTCCCGCTGCCACTCGCGGCGGGATCTCCCGGGCCGCTCCACGCCGGCCGTGGCTGCCGCGAGGGCTCCGGCAGCACCTGCCGCGACCGCAGCCGATTGGCCAGCTGGCAGTTGAACAAGAGGCTTACCACCAGCAGAAAGCCCATCCCGTAGAGCAGCGCAAACTCGAGGCCCATCGGATCCAGCACGTACGCGCCCGGCGAGTTGTTATCGGTTGGGATCCGCGCCGACGGCGCGGCGGTTCCCGAGGCGTCGCCTTCCCAGCAGGGAAAGGAGGCTCGGCAACCCTTGGTGCCCTTCCATATCGAGGTGGTGTTCGATTCCGTGCTGTCGTACGAAAGGCGGATGGCAAAGGCGCGATTGGGGTCCTTTCCGTAACAATCTAGAAAGTTAGAAGGCAGTGGACGAAGAGAATCATAGTGTAGGGATAGAAATGGTGGGGAAAAGACGAGCGTTGTGAGAATGCGTACAGGTCTCCCCACGAAGCAATTGTCGATCACTAACATGAATTGCATTGTGTTACGTACACGGCCCGTTCAGTGGGAACTTGTCTCCCAGGTGGCGCTTGAAGGACGGCCACTTTTTGTATAGATCGTCTATTCCGTGGACGGGGACGCTGAGCATGGAATAATCAACCGCCATAGAATAGCTCGTCTTGGATGGTGCCTCAGCCGATTTTTGGGTGACGGTTTTCTCGATCTGGATCCGCGGCAGCAGGGGGTTCAGGTCTCCATGGGCGCATGTCTTCGAGTATCTATCGTACGGATCGTCGTTGGTTCCTCCCCTCCATTTGATTTGCTCGTGGATCGTCGCGTTGATGGCGATGGTCCCTGCAACGGTTTCCAGAACGGTTTCGTCAAAGTTGAAGATCGACGCGGTCGTAAAGGGCCGCTGCAGCTGGGTGGACGTCCAGGGAGTGTTGACGTACCTAGAAACGAACAGCTCCTTCGTGGTATGCACGTGCTGCACATTCTCCGAAGCGCTGGTGAGCTGGAAGTGGTTCTTTTCGATCGGAGCAAGAATCAAGTTGTAGGGTCCCAACCAATCGGACGTATTTATGGTGTGGTAGGATTTTTTGACGATTCCTTCTCGGAGCCGAAAGCCGAACTGGAAAAAGGCGGTCACTGCGAGAGTCCAAAGCAGTAGATCAAAACATAATCCAGGTAGTCATTATACACAGCATTTTGGTGTTTACAGTAGGCGAACGGAAAATCACGTGTGAGGAAATCCAGGAATGATCAGACATCGCTTAATATGTTCGAAAGGGGAGACGGAGACCAAACAACAGCAAAAACAACCAAAAAAAACAACAACACGTGCAACCACGCAGACGCGGCAGCAACGAGACGACCACAAACTATCACGCACCATCGCTCCACTCCAGCGAACTGGTTTCGGTATCGACGCACTCCTCCCGCTCGTCCCCGGAGGCCCCCCCGTGGCTGCAGGCCTTGTTGTCGGCCTCGCGGCAGCTCTTGCCCTCGGTGCTCCCGCCGTTTCCAAGAGCGCAGCTCTTCACCTGCATCGGATCCGGCATCAGGTGCATCACAACGTAGGCGGTCCCCTTGTAGTATCCAACGTCCGTCATGGTCTCCGTAGAAAACGTCCAGGTGCCGTAGAGGCCGCTGGCCTCGATCCAGGACGAATCCTTCCGCGGCATGCTGGTGCTTTGTTTTCTTGTGTCGCGATGTGTCGTGTCGTGTCGTGTCGTGTMGTGTCGTGTCGTGGCGCAGTGCCGTGTCTTGATGCAACGGATCTATTCTATTGCAACTACTGCTCTCCCAAATCAAACCTGGATGGACGCGTGGTTCGCAATGGTTTTTCGTTCGTTGCTCCTCTGTTCCGAAAGGATCGTGGTATTGTTATTATTATTCTTTTTGCGAGATGGTCTCAAGCCATGCTATGGAACGCACAGTACCGTAGGCTAAAAAAGGCCAGGACGCGACGATACGACTAACTGAGATTCACGTACCGGTACTGGATAGATAGATACCGTAACTCGTACCTACATTCGTACGGTTTTCGTTGAAAAAGAAATTTTGGGAACGAAAAATATTTCCGTTAGCATCTCATCAAAATCGAGAACAAAGAAGAGAACGAAGAACATCACGTGAATCACATCGCAACTATCGTATCTGTATGGGTACGTACGGTACGGTATGTATGCTTGTACAGTACATCTATTGTAAGACAATACCATACGTATGTATGTATGGTAAACTGTAAAGGCTTAGGACTTAAAAGTAGGAAACAGGGAACTCGGGTTGGCTGATGCTGACATACCTATTGTACATAATACATAATAGTATCACCTTTCTTGGATGATCCGTGACCTCCTACCTAAAACCTGAAACTGTACGAATTGAACCTCGACTCGTGTTGCGATGCTGCAATCGCAACAAAGTAAGCAAACTAAACTTCACCGGTCGATTTCTCAATGTATTGCTTGAATAAAATTGCAAATACTAGTCTAGTACTACCGTAGCTAATTTAAAGTATTGATAGATTTCGTTGGGAAACCTGGTGCGACACTACCGCGTCGTCTCTTGATGAATCCTTTCGTTTCGCAGGAACGTGCATCGTGCCGTACCACTGCATCTTGCCGCAAAGCATTGCATTTCATTGCATCGTCCTATACAAATCGGGTCTGTGCCACGACGCCGTGCAAAAAGACATCCTCCGAGTGGCTTCCCGTCCTCCGGTGCTGTTGTTGTTGTTGTTGTTGTTGTTGTTGTTGCTGTTGCTGTTGCTGCTGCTGGCTGCCCCCGCTGCTGCCCACCGAAACGTGGCTGTTCGACCGCGGCCTCGTGCGGGAAGCGGGCTTGGACGGCGAAACGAGCCCACCCCCCACTTGTCCCTTGCTCCCGCCAAAGGAGGACGACTGTCGGACGGACCGCTGGAAGGATTCGTCGACGTCAAAGGAGCTGACCCGCCGGTGGACCTGGAATTTCTGGCCCGTCGACGACGAGGAGACCGACGGCGAACGGGACCTCAGGAACGACGAGGACAGCCGGGTGGGGGTCGCCGACCGGCGGTGCTGGCGGGACGGCCCAACCGGGACCGAGTGCCGGCCGCTCAGGGAAAGCTCCTGGCCCGTCTGCATCACCTCGTCGATGAGGTCCTGGGGGGACAGGTAGTGGCCCGGTCCCGCCGCCATCGATGGGAGCGAGAGGTCGTCGGCCCGGCCCGCGGCACCGCCGCCCGAAGGGAACTGCCCCCCCGGGGGGGACAGCCGGCTGCTGCCGCTGCCTCCATCCGCGGCGCTTCCCTCCTGCCGAAAGACGTCGCCGCTTCCGCTCAGACCCAGGCCCGCGCTTCCGTAGGGCCCCGTGCTCTTGCTGTGCGAGTGACCGGGGTACCTGCTCGTGGTCCTTGGGCTGAACTTGCGAAAGGGGCTGGCCCCCAGGCTGGTCTGCCCGACGCTGTTGTGCCGCCGGTGGTGGTCGCCCCTCCCCAGGACGGCCCGGCCCGGGGACTGTGCCACCACGCTCCGAGAGGGCGAGGCCGCGTACCGGGAGGGCAGGGGGGAGAACCGGGGCCCGGCCCGGGGGGAGTGGGAGGAGCCCCCCGGCGTTCCGATTGGGCCCGCGGAAGCCTCGTTCTTGGGGTTCCGCACCGGCGACCGGGGCTGCACGGTGAGGGAGAACTCGGCCTCGATGTCCTCCAGCTCCCGCTCGATGGCCTTGTGCCGGTCCACGCGCTCCCGCTCCCGGGTGTTCTCCCGCTTTTTCCGGTTCTCGGCCACGATCGCTTCGTTCTTTTCCCCCTGGGTGTAGAGCTTTTCCTTTGTTTCGATCAGCCGGGAGAGCTTCTGCTGAAACTCCAGCGACTTTGCGTCTGGGGACCGCTCGGAAAGCAAAAAGCTTTCCCCGATGGTGGGCACCACGATGCTGTCCGTGTCGTCGTCCTCGTCCTCATCCTCGTCGACGCCATCGACGGACCGCTTGTTCTCAAAGGAGTTATTGGATCCATCGGTGTTTAGCGAATTCTGGGACAATATCCTCTTGAAGGCGTCGTCGGACACCGGGAGGTGGTCCTCCAGCTTCTTTTCGTCGCCACCATCGATGCCGTTGTTTTCCTCGTCGTCGCTGTCGTTGATCGAAAAGATCTTTTTGGCCGCGTCCCGGCGCTTCCGCTCGCTGAGAAAGGTGTCGTCGTCGATGATGAGGCAGGGCGTCCCGTCCTTGCGGGGAAAGTCCTTAAAGGCAAACTTGTAGTTGCTGGGATCCTCGTCCTCGACGTTCGGAAGGGGTTCCATCTCGATCTCTCTCCCGTACAGCGTCGGGTCTTGGTATCGGTAGTTGTTGTTGTTGTGGTAATCGTCGTAGTAAACCTGCTCGTCCCCGACCGAATAGGTTCGGTGGAAATTCTCGTCGTCCTCATAGTTGGCGGGATTGCGGGTGTGGTGGCTGTTCCCGTTGGTGCTGCTGTACCAGGACGACATGCTTAGGTTGCGAAAGATGCTGCCCACCAGGCTGCCCGGGCCCCCGGTGGGCTGCGGGCCCATCCCGGGGGGTCCGTGGGAGCCGTGCGGGTGTTGCTGTTGCAGAGCTAGTGGTTCCTGCAGCAGCTGCTGCTGCGGCTGCTGGTGATTCTGCCAGGACCGGCCCGTGTGCGAGGCAGCGGAGGAGGAGCCGTTCTCCTCGCGGTCCGGCCCTTCCCCGTCCTCGTCCCCGGCACCCGCGGCGAGGTTCCGGATGGGGGCAAAGTGGCTCGCGCTGTTGGCCGGATTGGTTTCGCTGTTGGCGCTCCCGACCGAGATCGACCGCCCCGTGAAGGAGGACCTTCCGGGCGACGAAAAGGGAAAATGGGCCGACCGGCCCAGGTCGAGGCCGTAGTGGGGGGAGGGAGCGGCCCCCGGGGACGGCTGCGGGGGCTGCCTGGAACGGTCCGCCCCTTGCTGCGGGTCTTGGTGCTGGAAGTATCCCTTGTAGATGTACTCAAAGGGGTTGCTGGGGATTTCGTAGGACCGTCCAAAGACGCTGACGGTGGCGTTGGTGTCCGATCGGTGCTGGTCGTAGTACAGGTCCGGGCGATGCCGCGAAAGATACCTATCGGAGGCATTCAGTGCCGACACGGCGCTGGCCGTGCTGCGGGCATTGCTCCTGCCGCTGTGGTTCGTGGGCGAGGGAAAGACGTCCGTTCCGTGGTGGGGAACGTCCAGGGAGGTACCCCGCTGCGGGCTCTCCATCCCGAGCGCCGTGGGGCGCGGCAGGGACGCGTGGAAGCCCTGGTCCATGAAGCTTTTGTTGCTCACCTGGTTGGGGTCGTCGCGGTAGGTCACGCTGCTGAGGCCGTCGCTGTCTCCATCTCCGAGGGAGAGACCGCCGTGCAGGAGCTGCAGGCGGAGCTCCCTGTCCCGCTTGACGTGCTCGTACCAGGCGTACATCGGCCACACCACGGCAATGACCGCCAGGAGGACCAGCATGGTGATGAGGGCGTTCTTGGTGCGCTCGGACCAGTCCTGCCCGTACCAATTGGAATCGTTGGGGGTAGAGGCAGCCGCCAGGGGCGGCAGCGGCTCCGGCATATCTACCCTCAGCTTTGTAATTTCCTGCAGGAGTTCCTGGCTTGGGTGGGATACCAGGGACCGGAGGTATATGTCGCGTTGCATCCCGAACAAAAAGTCCATCCACCTCTGAAAGAGTTCCCGAACGTCTTCGTTGCTGGGCTTGTTCAGTTTTTGTTCCTCCGAAAAGGGCTCTACAAAGGCAATCGTTGGCGTCATTTCCGCCATGAGCTCCGCGTATTCGGCGTTCGCTTCACCGCCTTGTGCTTGCAAGGAACGGAGCCTTCTGGATCCCCAGAGGTCGTCCTTGTCGTCGCCATCGCCATCGCCATCGCCATCGCCATCGCCATCGCCATCGCCATCACCATTGCTGCCCGTGAAGGGTCCCGTTCGAAGGTAGAGCTTCACCCTGAGATCGATCGTTACAATGCGATCGTACATCTTGTGATAGACCAACCCGTCATACAAATGGACGTAACTGGACTCGTATTCCGAGGGTGGAGCCTCCAGCGGCGGCTCGACAAGGTCTTCGCTGTTTGATTGCATCGTACCCGATTCCGGAGCTCCTTCATTGGTCGTTGGTGCTGGGTCATCTTCTCCTTCCGCTTCGGTGGCAGCAATCTGAGTCGACCCCGATACGGAGGTAACGGTTTCCTTGCCGACCTGGACCTTGTAGCTTTCTTCCCCGGTGGCATCCGCCCCGCTGATTCCGCCGTCGTTGTTGTTGTTTTGTACCTGAATGACCCGGGCGTGGTCTCTCTGCTGGGCTCCGTAGGCATAATTGTTTTCCAGCAACCGCCGCATCCGGTTGTTGTTTTCGTTGTTGTCGCTACCAATAGCGTTCTCGTTGCTCCCCCCGACAATCGTAGCATTGCTTCCGGCGCCGTAGACGTCCTCTTCCAGCGCAGCCTCCCCGTCGGAGCTCCCGCCACGCTCCAGCGCCCATGCATCCATCAGGTTCTGGAGGCCCACAAACAAAAACTCCTGTGTGGTGGTCCGCAGGGGGTACGAGAGGCCCGAGGAGAGGCCCCCCGTCTCCGAGACGAGCGTCCAGGGGGTTCCTGGTGCGGGATTGGAAGGAGCGGCCTCCAGGGCCTTGTCCAGGGCATCCGTCCGCTTCGTGCCAAAAAAGACGCGAAAGCCATCGAGGTTGTACAGGGCATAAACGGCCAGGTGCCTGTTGTTCTCTGCCGGATCGGAACGGTAGAGGCCGGCGCTGTGGCCAATCGAGGCACCACTCCCGGCGACGAGCGCCAAGAAGACCAGCGTTCCGATTGCGCTTCCTAGTATGGATTTCATGATGGGTGTCGGTTCGCCTTTCTGTCTTTGTGCGTGCAGATTGTTGGGTTGCTCTGGAATCGATGGTGCGTTGTGTTGTCCTGCAGTTCGTTTCGTTTCGTTTCGTTTCGTTTTTCGTCTCGTTTCTTTGCGATGCGTTGCGTTCGGTTTCCACCACCACCTGATCTGCTGGGCTCCGAATCCTTGTTTTATCTCACTAGTGTTTTGAAATGACGGAAGTTGGTTTCGGAGTGGAAAAGTAATTCAAGTATATCGACGGATTGCCAGGGCATTCCCTGGGTCGAAGAGACTGTAATGAAGCCCGCTGCGATTTGCCTCGATGTGCCGCGGTGTGCTTCCCTCGAATGAATTCGTTTGTTCCTGTTCGTTCGTGTTCTGGTGTCGCGTAACGTACTCGTACTTGCCTTGGTGCACAGAGATGGTGAGGGTGGGGACGATACTGTACGCACGGATGGGGAAACGTTGAGATGCCAGAGATGCGACAATCGTCTACTTTACGTACCGTGCGATACTGCCGGTCGACAATCCAGCAGTACTGCGTAGCAGGAGTACGAGTGCTTACGCACCGTGGGTTCGTTTGAAATTTTGGGCCGGAAAAAGCTCCTCCGGTTGCTTCTTCCTTCCCTCCGGAAGCCGTCGACGGTTACTTTTGTGACTGGAGCCGCACGCATTGGAATGGAATCGTGGGACTCGAATGTGTGACAGCCGTCTTTCTCTGCGGAATTCAAGCCCAGCGGGTGCGTGTGTCCTTCCGTACGAACGACTCACCTCGGAGTATCACCCCAAAAATGCGTCCAGTGTCCAGTGGGCGTGATTGATTTTTGTACGTGCCGTACGAGTTTTCGAGGTTCGAACCTCCCAAAGATTGGAGGTATGGATCGTATCGTACTATCGTATGGTAGCATCAAGACTGAGATGACTTTGAGGTTGATCGATTGATGATTGATTCATTCATTCACGAATGGAGCAACCCCGTAGGCTTGTTATTTCACAGAGCCACCCATTCTTCCGACAGACCGAAAAAACAAAAAACGATCTCTCAAAACTCTTCATAATCTTCATAACGAATCAAGCTTTTCGAGTTTTCTCCGTCGACACCGCAGATGCGCAGATACCAACCGTAGCAAAAACATACCCCAAGAACAAAGATTTGGTACCGTCGTTGACAAAACACAAACTGGAACTCATCTTTCACATAGAAGCAGCAACAGTGGCATCAGTAGAATCAGGAACAACGGAATTCATCATGGGATCTAAAAAAGAAAAAAAAGAGAAAAAGGAAAAGAAGGAGAAGAAAGAAAAGAAAGACAAGAAGGAAAAGAAGGCCAAGAAGCAAAAGATCGACCACGGCGAGGGCGACGACGACGGCATTGTCGGTGGTTTGCCTCCTTCCTTTTACGAGGAAACGAAGAGCCAACCGACGGAGGACGGCGGCGCAAACCCACCCGAGCCGGCTTCCGGAGAGGCCGACCCTCCTTCGGGAGACACCGAAGCGACCCGGACCGATCCGGAAGGCGCCCCCGCCAAGAGGAAACGAAAGCGGAAGCGAAAGCGCAAGGCCGAGGCGGCGGGAGAGGAGCCGGACGACGCCGCCGCCGCCGCGGGAAACACACCCGGCGACGACGCCATGGTCCAGGACACGGTCTTTGTCGAGGGGATCCCCTTTGACGCCACGCCCGAGACCGTCCGCGGGTTTTTCGTCGGCGCCGAAGGGATCTCCGAAAGCGACGTCCTCGAGCTCCGGCTCCCGACCTGGCAGGACACGGGCCGGCTGAGGGGCTTTGGGCACGTGCGGTTCGCCACGACCGAGTCGTACGAGGCCGCCCTGGGGCTCTCCGGAAAATACCTCGGGAAGCGCTACCTGTCGATCCAGGCCGCGAGGGACCGGTCCGGCGGCGCAAGCACGAGCGGGAACCGCAGCGGCCGGTCGGTGGAGGGGGACCTTTCCTGCCCCGAGGGCTGCCGGACGGTCTACCTGAACAACCTTCCCTACGGGGCGACCGAGTCGGGCATCGCCGAGGCCGTCAACGGCCACGCCGGGGCCGGCGGGGGGGTCACGGAGGAGAGCGTCCGGATCGCCCGCAACTCGGTGACCCGCCAGTCCAAGGGCTTTTGCTACGTCGACTTTGGGACCTCCGGGGACGCCCAAACGTTCGTGGCGTCGGCCGCCAAGAAAAACCTGGTCGTCGGGGGCCGGATCGTCCGGCTGGACTACGACACGGGCCGGGCCAGGGGGTCCTTCCGGACCGAGTCGGGCCGGCTGCTGCAGAAGCACTTTTCCGACTAGCGAAAGTGCACGGGCGGGAAAGGCACCCTTTCGGATGCCATGCCGTGCCATGCCGTGCCGTGCCTGCCCGTCGAGGGAAAGGGCGACTCCTTCGCACGATCCAAACGGCGACACGCCGCTGCCGGTTGCAATGCCGGAGCGGAGCCCCCGGCCCGGTGCCCTCCGATCGTGCGGCAAAGCCCTTTCGAGCAGACAAGCATAGGTAGGAACGGTACCTTTTTAACGACTACAATATTTCGATGCCCCCCGTCTTTCGAACATCCGTCGCAGTAAAACCCGATCTATGCTGTTTTCACTAGTATCAAATTATACAAAAAATAAAGAAAAGACGATACTATTTCTACACAAAGCATCCGTGACCTGATAATTGTACTGGATACACGATTTAGGACTAGATGAATTAGTGATTTACTGCCAGCACAGGATGCGAACAGTAGGACCAATAGCATACCTATATCTCTGCATAATCCTAAACTTACAGACTGCACAAGGTCGTTTTCTGTTCGAGATGCCTTGTCTGTTCTAGCTTCGACCAAGTTTTTTTGCTGGCATCCCGCCCGTTCGGCTTCCACTTGCAAGTTTATTTTGCTGGTGATCTTTGTAAGTTGTACTCCTAACGGAAACGCAACACGTAAAATACCGAGATTTGGTATGGCTGCGGAAGGTGCGTGCTGCTTTGAGAGTGCACGAGTAGAATATTCGCTAGGTTGTGCTATGCTATGCTATGCTATGCTCTGCTATGCTGTGCTACGTTCGTTCCTCTTGCGGGTCGCCCCCGACCTGCTTCGCTGCCTTTTCAAAGACGCCCGACAGGAACTCGTTGTGCTGGCGCACCAGACCGATATTCCCGTTGCTGCTCCCCCCGATCGCTTCGACCATCTGTATCTTCTTTTTGAGGGTGGCCAGCTCCTCCAGCTGCTTCTCGATGTGGCCCTTGAGGATGTCGGCCGTGTAGCTCCGGTACTTGGTGTGCTGCTCCTCTGTAAACTCCGGTGGCTCGCCTGGCGGGTGCTTGGGTTCCAGAAGCGCGTACAGGACGGCGTCCCAGACTTGCTTTGGGATGTGTCCGTCGGAGGTCCGAAAGGTCATGGCTTCGACGTTTTCCGTAAAGGGGTTGTCCACGTAGACCAGGTGGGACCAGAGATTGGGCATGTCGGCGACGGGAACAAATCCAAATACCCCGAGAAACCGGTGCGGGTTGCTTGGTTGCCCGTAGGTAATGTAGAGGTCGAGGTTGTCCTCGTCCCCGCTGGTGTTGCCCTTGTAGACAAAACTGACATAGTCGTCGCCCTCGTGTGCAATGGCAACGTTGGGTGGCTCACGGTGGTTGAACATATCTCCAACGGGAACCAGCTCCGACGTAGGTTGCTTTGTTGTTGGAGAGGAAGATGAATCCCCCATCCCCTTCATGAGTGCAGCCGTCCCCTCTTCGGTGGAGGAGGTCTTCCAGAATCGGCTGCTGACGGCGCAAAAGGCAAAACGGGCCTGCTCGCTGCTTCCAGGCGCCTCCGAGACGAGGCCCGATCCAAAGGCCGCCTCGCAAAAAGAAGCGAGTTTCTCTTCCTGGTAGTCGGCGATGTACTTGGCGTAATACGGGAGGCAGCTTTTTTCTGCGCTGGAAAACTCGACGAAATTCCTCGGGAGGGACTGGATGTAGGGAGCCCAGGCCGAGGACTCCCCCTCCAGGCAGCACCGCAGCACCTTGGCAAAGATGAAGAATCCCTCCGCGTGTTGCTCGAACCCATCGCTGCGCAGCCGGGCGAGGGCTGCCCCTACCTTTTCCGGCGACTCCGCCTCGAGCTCGCTCCGGATGCGACCGGCGTCGAAGACGATACTCCGGGGGACCTTGAGCAGGACGGTTCCCGGTTCCACCGGTTCGGTCAGCTCCACACCGATATTGTCGTCGTTGCCGTCGTCATCTTCGTTTGCCGCTTGCTGTTTCCACCGGAGGCTTTCGTGCATCACCACGCCCTGCTCACTCGCCCAGCGAGAAAGATCGTTCACGTTTCTTTTCGAAGCCGGAACCGACGGAGAGGACGACGACGATGCGGAGCGTTCCACCGCAAGCATACAGAGTGCCATCAGAAAGTGCGAGATCTTGCGCATGGTGGCGAGTGGCTTGAATTGCACTTTGTTTGGGTTGATTGTAGACCGCGTACCGGTATAGTCTGGTTTGTAGAACGCAACAAGTTCGGTGAATAATAGTAGTAATACGATAGCAAACGCTGATGTTCTTGTGCATCCCAGAAGATTTTCATACTTCCGTATCGGTACGAGTAATACCATACGAGAGTTGAAGGAAAGATTTTCCGTCAGAAAGACACAAGGCGAACAATCAGGCGACTAATGGAGTGACTAAATGGACTACTCCAAACATTCCATGTGGAAGCAAACGCGGAGGCTTTCGATCCCGCAAGACTGAACCAATGGAGAGAAAAGTGGCAAACAGTCGATTCTGGTGTATCCCCTCGCGCGCGCCGGTCGAAATTCTAATTTCTAACGTTTTTTTGAAAGCACGTTCTGCCCCGAGGGATTTCACGCACGATCAAGACCGACGAGGGTTAGATCATCGCAAAAAAGAAAAACGAAAGCGTATCTCCAAAACGGTAGAGGAAAACCGCGTCAACCTTTTTCATTGGAATAATCCCTCTATTCATTGTACAACAATAGAACGGAATAGAAAAACAAACACAATACTAGAAGAAGACAAATAAAAAACATTATAGATACTCTGACCATGACAAGCGACTACAAACACGGTTCTTACCGTACTCACAGGAACAAATCGAACCAGTATGCCGCTGCCTTCGGCGAGTTGCACAAAGACGACGCCTATTCGAAGAGGAGCAGGCAAAGCCGAATGAGCGAGGCAAGCGGCGTAAATTACCTCTCGCATCAGTTGAAGCAAACTGCTTCGTTCGACTTTGCCTCGATCGATGAGAACAGTGAAAACATCCGCAACGGAGCCAACAGTCGGTTCAACAGCATGGGTACCACAAAAACCACAAATACGCTAGAGGACAGCTATAGCAGAGCAATGCAAAAGATGAATCGTGGCGACTTTGATCCCAACCGAAAGGTGACCAGTGATGCAGAGAAGGGACGATTCGACGACAAGAATCGCTSGAGCCGTGGCAGCAGCAAGGCAGAGAGCCAGAGCCGCCACAGCAACACCAGCAGCAAGCACACTCAAATGGATAATCATTCGGCCCACCGAAGAGCATCCAAATCCAAAAATAGTGCCACTACCGGTAAGAAAAAAAGGTCCGTCAGCAAAAAAGATCCTTCGGAAGAAACAATCGCTCTCTTCGGAGCCAATGGTGTCACAGGTCACTACTTTTTGCAACAAGCTATGGAGGCAGGATATAACATCCAGGCGTTGGTTACACCGGGAATGCCACTAGAGGACTTTTCCAACAATGAACGTCTCAATATCGTCACCGGTTCCCTCGAAGAGATCGAGAAGATTCAAGCTGTTGTTCATAATGCCACATACGTGGTTTGTCTTCTGCAAGATAATGACCAAGAAACCATGAAGCCCCCAGTTGGCAACATTGAAGACGAAGCTGCAAATGAATCCTATTCTTTTTTCAATCTCAATTTTGTTCACAATCTTGTACCAATTTTGGAGCAATCGAAGACCTGTCGCGTCCTGCTCTATGAAGTACGTTTGCTATCGAATTGTAATCTCGTTGCGGTTTAATTTTTACTTTTGCTTACTCAGGTATCTCTATCTGTTGCTTACAATATTTTTCAACTTTGAAATCTTTCTTTGTCATCTGATACAGGCAACTTCACTAGCGAAAGATTCGAAAGGAAATGCTCCATTCTTGACCACGATGACAAAAAAATTAGCATTTGGAAAGAACTGGCGCTGGAATAAAAAAGAACAGGATCGCATTGTCCAATATCTCGCAGCCCAGACAGAGAATGCTGCCTTTAACTACATTGTAACTCGCCCAAGTGCAACCCTCATTTGGGACAGACCATCTCGCAAAAAGCTTGCGGCATCTAAGTCGGTACGTTGTAATTTTTGGTCTGCTGTTTACTTCTCATTGTTATGCGGCTTTACCACTAACGTTCCGTTTTACGTTATATAACATCAATCCTCCAGAAACCGGGACCGTTTCCGATTACGAATATTGACTTAGCCGAGTTCACATTAAATGCGTTGCGGATGGAAAAGGTTTACAATTCCTGCCCCTACGTGGTACAAGACGGAATTTAAAGTGAGACTTCGATTCTGAAGCGATTGACACATCGAAGGCTGCGGGGGATCTTGCTTTTCCAGGGAAAAATACTAAGGGAGATCTATGATTGGTTGCAGGCCTAAAACGCGCCATCTACAGTACAATGACACGGCGACGACAAATCCAACAACTTCGTACTAGTAGAATATTTGTGCTCATTGCATACAATTAAGAGGAATATATATAGGAACAAAATTCTCTAAAAAACAAATAGTTTTCACCAGTACAATACATTTTCATAAGCACAAAGAATCTGTCACACTCGCTAGTGAAAAACTAGCACATGATTACTAAAGTGGTAGTCAATTTATGCGAGAATGCGCAAGTAGCGAAAGTGATTTGCAAGTTGTACGTCCTCGATAGCAGAAATTATCTAATTGCAATTCTCAATGCTCGAGCTTGAATTTATGCAATGCAATAAAACCCAATTTGGATCGACCATGGGGAGAAGGGGAGCGAAGATTCGACTTTTTGAAACCCCCCTGACTCGTGCAGGGAGGTCATTCCTTTTCCAATGCCGCCCATATCAAATGTGCTGCGTTGTGGAGTGCGAGAGTATAGGAGGTCAGCTGATTTGTATTCGTTTCAGGCAACCAACCACATTTGTGCGTGTTTTTGCTTCACAAACACTCACACAATATTGTGCACAATATTGTGCACACTAGTGTGTCGGATTAGTCGGTGCGATGGATGTTGTCAAGAATGTATTCCACACGGTTCGTTGCCATGTGGTGCTCCAGGACGAATCTGTAGCCGTTCTTGGCAATGGCCTCGGCTTCGTGCAAGTGGTCCGGGTGCGAGTAGTAGGCCAGCTTGGTCAGGAAGTCCGTTCGGTTGTTCGCTTCGTACGTGACAAAGTGGACGCCGTGAACGAGCGGATTCGGCATCCAGTCCGGTATCAGCATCTCGTCCACCATGACCATCGCGCCGGACAGGAAGGACTCCCACAGCCGGAAGTCCCCCTCGTAGCCGGAGGGGTTGCAGGTCACGATGATCTTTGCGTCGCGAAGGTGGCGGAGGTAGTTTTGTCCAAAGCAGTGGCCATCGCAACCTCTCCGGACAAGCCCGACGTAAGCAGCAAAGGTCGGGTCCTCGGAGGAGGAGTCGAGGAATTCGAGTGCGTCGCTCGTACCGTTGGCGTTGTTGGCGCCATCGACGACGACGTCGGTGCCATTGGGGTCATGGCCGGGGTGGTGGGCCTTGGCGCGGCAAAACTCGTGGGTCCACCCGATAATCTTTGTGCGGACAATGTTGTGGCTGTGATATTCGTCGTTGAGCACCAAAACATTGGTCAAGGTCCAACGCCGCTCCGCAAACGGGACCAAGAAGTTGTCGTAGCGTTCGTCTCGGAAGTAGCCTTGATCGACGGGCTTGGTTGTGTTGCTAGTGGTGACTCGTCTGGTGGAATTCCAGTCGCTGGGAGGATGGTAGTTGTACATTGTTCCAATGCCACGCGAAAAAAGTTCGGCTCGGTGTTTGGTGGTCGCTATGTTGCTGTCGTTGGGTACCATCATGACCCTCGATCCGCTGTAGGAATAGGGAAGAATCCCACTGTCCRGTTCGGTGCAATTCTCCAAGAAGACGTTGAAGTCGTCCTTGAAGACAAAGGAACGCTTGAAGTACGCCAACTCGGTGTTGTTCCCCCTTATTTCGTCACGCTTGTGATGGACGGTGCAACCATCGGAATAATCCAGGACAACGACCTTCCTGGCGTGATCGACCGGATCCAACGGGGGCTTCTCGAGTTCGTGCTGGCCCATGGTGGTGATCCAGACGATGAGATCGGCGGAAGCGGGGTCGTCGGTGGGAACAAACCAGGGCGAAGGACTGCCCCCCCCTTCGTTCTCGTTGCGCTTTCCGGCGTATTCGAACCACCCCTCACCGACCAGTATGTCTTCCCTCGGGCTCTCGAGTGTCGTGTCGTCCCACATGTGAATCTTATAGGGCCGTCCCTCTGGATCGGAAAGATCGATGGGAGGTTTCGCTTGTTGCTCCGCGGCATCGATTGGTTCGTTTTGCAAAGCCTGGGCACGGGACGAAAGGACCTCCGACAGCCGTTGATACACCGCTGAGACCTTTTCTTCCAGTTGTTCCAGCTCCTCCGACAGCCGTTGATCCACCGCTGAGACCTTTTCTTCCAGTTGTTCCAGCTCCTCCGACAGCCGTTGATCCACCGCTGAGACCTTTTCTTCCAGTTGTTCCAGCACCTCCTTCAGGTCGTTGATTCGCTTTGCGGTGTCTTCTGCAGCGATCGCAAGCCTTTGGTCGGTAGTGTTGGCAAGCCTATTTTGTCGCGACCAGAGTTTCAACGAGTACTTATAGTGATCACTCAGTTCTTTCTGCCGTTCTTCCCGTTCCTCGTCGACCTTCCGCGATAGCTCCCTCAGCTCGGAGTGCCGTCTTTCGGGAAGCAGGCCCGCGGCAACCGCGTCCCCCACCTCGTTGCTCGGGTTGCTCGTGGCCGCACCGTGCAGGTGCCAGAGGCCCACCAGGGCGAACCCGACCGAGAGCAGGAAGACGCCGCGGCCCACCGCGGAGGCCGAAGCACCGGCCCRGTGCCCGGTCTGGGGGACACCGGAAAAGGGYGGTGGCATGGCCGTTGCGGAACAGCGAAGAGTGTGCTGTCGGATGCGTTCGCCCGGGATTGTTTCGCGACGGCAACCAAAAGTTCTGTGGGAAGTACGAGTTGTGAGGATGAAGTACAATCACGAGTAGCTAGTGAATAACAAACAGTACATACTAAATCACGTAGAATCATACGCACATGTACTGCATGAAACTACGCCTGCTGACACCAAACAGCAGCATACCGAACCCCCAGAACCCTAACAAAACTGCCCAAAGATATCCAGACAACATCTTAGTCGACAATAACAGCACACAACACAAAAACCACCCTCATTCGACCACAACATTCCTGCCGAAGTCGAATGTTGGATGCATAAAAAATGAAAAATGGCATAAAAACCGGTCTCTTATGTCACGTACTGTAGCGTAGGGTACGAGGTACTATTACCGTACAATTTTTGAATTTTTTTTTTTCCCCTCGTCTTCCAGTTCGAATGCAGCCAAAAACATTTGATTATCTTGAGCGTTTCTACCCGCTTACCCAAAATCAATTACGAAGTACAACAYTACAGTTGGCGATGGCACCACATCGTATTGCTCCTACAGTAACAGTCTAGCAATGATGGTGATAGAAACAAAGATTCATAATAACTTAATTGCACCTGGCTTTCTTGAACAGAGGACGGTTACTAGTAGTAGCTAGTCGAGATCCGGAAAAGTCCTCATCATCCATCATGGCAATTTTTCTTACTAGTACCGTAGTATCTAGTACATCGGATCATTGGCAGGGCCCGATTTGTCTTCGCAAAAAGCTGTCCATCGGATGCCAAAAATTAGAAGCCATCCGAGAGTGGCAAGAAAAAGAGAAAAATAGTAGTATTCTAGCCCCACCGTTGTTGGCATTGGTAGTTCCGGCGAGAGCAAGACAAGCAAGATTGGTGATGTGAATTTCGMTTTCTGACAACGCAAATTTCACACCCCAGACCTGTTGGATTCCTAACCCAAAGAAACGCTGGAGAAGGACTTGCGTTGCAGTCTATGGGATCATGGCAGGCCGACCAAAGTCCCACAGAATAGATTTCACCGTTCATCGCCCATGATGGTTGGTTTGTCATTTGCGTGCGACCGGGCTCCTCGGCAGTCCTCTCCTCCAGCGCCAATCGATGGGTTCGATGGCATTTTCGTTTGGTGTTTCTACCAAACGGCCGACCTCCACGTGGATCGATCCACACCGAGGGCGTTTCCCGCCGTTTTCTCTCTTTCATTCGTCCCCGCTGGTGTCGCTGTCGCTGTCGCTCTCGTCACCGTCGCTGCTCTCGCCGCCCCGGCACGAGCGATCGAGCCGTTCCGAGGCAATGGCGACCAGCCGCCTCGTCCTCCGCTGGTCCCTCGGCGTGGTCCCGGCCGGGCCCCGCTCGATGCGGTCCCTACAGGAGTCCTTCCAGGCCGCGAGCTTCCTTGCGGAAGGGCCGCTTCCATCGTGTTGGCCCGCCGCCCTCCGGCACCTTGCGATCGTCCGCGAGACGTCCCTGAGGGCCTCCCACCGGGCCCGCTCGGTCCTCCGGGCCAGCACGGAAAAGGCCTTGTCCACCKGGGACGCCTTCGCTTGAGCCGCAGGGGGAGAACCGCCGCCGCAAGGGCCGGGGGACGCTCCCCCCCAGGCAGCGGCGGTCTCCAAAGCGCGCAAGCAGGCCCCCGGATCCCCGACGGAGTGGACGGATTCCAGGAGGGTCCTCCGGGYTCTGCGCTTCCGCCGCCCGCTGGAAGGGTGCGAGGCGAGGACGTGGACGTTCGGCCCGACCGAGCAGAGGTCCCGGCAGCCCCCGTCCACCACGCGCAGCTTCGCKCCGCCGGTTGGGGTTGTGTCTGTGTCTGCGCCTGCGCTTGCGCTTGTGGTTGCGCTTGGGGTTGCACCGCCGCTGTTGTGCTCTTGCACCAGTTCCTCGATCTCCAGGACGGCGATTCCTCCCCCCAGCCCCGTGCAGTCGGGCCCCCGGCACACCTCGATCAGGATGCACGGCCTAGCGCCGGTGCCGGTACCACGGACCACACCGCCGCCATCGGAGCCGCCGATCGCCTTTGTGCCATTGCTGCCGCTGCCACTGCTGCCGCCGCCATCGGTCGGAAGGTTCATTCAATCAATGTGACGATGCCTCTTATCCCATCCATTCCTGTGGTGGATTCGAGGCGCAGCAACTGCAGGATTGATGCAAGCTCGCAAGTACTCGTACCGGTACGGGGAGAGAGATGAGGATGGTTGCAAGAGCAACATGCCAATGATCCTCCGGATGGAACAGATCGATCGATCGATCGATCGATCCATCGATCCATCATCGGGGGGCTATTTTTCAAGGTTTCGTTTGGTCGTATCCAGGACGGACAAGGACAGAATGTGAAGAAATTGCGGACACCACCAAAGACAACGGATAGATTTTTTTGTATCAGCATTCGAACCCGCTGGAATTTGAGCGAGCCGAATCTTCCTAAGTAACCTACGAACATACACGAACGCGGGCCGACTGATCCCAACCCTGCCTCATTATTGTGATRGACGGTTATTTAACGTTATCGTAACATACCTACCCGGCCGGTACGAAACGGTACCAGAGGTGCGCATCACGAGAACGCAATCGACTCGTTTTGTGCGACTCCCTCACTCGCTCTCGCTAGCTTTCCTTTCGAACAACAAGATTCACCCCACCGTTTTCGACCTGGGGAAACAATCCTGCACATCGAATGCRGCAGATATCCGAACGAGTACAACCAGTTCTACACCGCAAACGACCACTACAAATACGAATACCAATTCGAATACCAGCACCACCATGAGCAGCACAAACATCGACAACGAGGACCTCGAGGTGGCCGCGGCCTACACCCAGGAAGACGCCGGATCGACGACCTTTCTGTGCTTCGGCGTCTGCGACATGCGCATCGCCACACTGGCCGCCAACGGCTTCAACATCGCCGCCACCCTGGTGGGAATCCTGGTGGCGGGCTTCAAGTCCTACCTCTTCTGGAAGGCCCTGGGCGGCGCCCTCGCCGCCGGAATCCCCGGCCTCGCCCTGAGCGCGGTCGGGATCTACGGGGCCAAGGAGTTCGACCTCCGGGCCATGTACGCGGCCTCCGCCGGCTTTGGCCTCCTCCTGCTCATCGACATCTGCATGTTCCAGTGGGTCGGGATCCTGATCAACCTCMTCGTCGTCTTCCCGCAGRCGGTCTTCACCTTTGAGCTGAGCAACGGCTTTCTCACCAAGGAGAACTATGCCGAGCAGGAATACATGTCGGAGCAGGGCAGGGACTTTGTCGACCGCGTCCATTCGCAGTACATCGCCCCCATGGCCGTCTCGCCCACCTCCTCTGCCCAATAAGTTAAGGGAACAAACCGGGAATCACAAAACGGCAAGGCACGCGGAACCCAAGGAGCACGAGCACCAGCACCAGCACAAAACAACTATATGTCTACAACAGATCGAACAAATGGATGAATCACCSAAWCAATCCCCCGGCATTGGTCGGGATMGATCGCTCCTTTTTCGGTACAACGTGATATAAAATGTAAATTATGTAACGAACGAACGCAACACTGTTCTTTATTTTTTCTGCTTTGCTGCTCGCTTTCGTCGGAGGAAGAAATGYCACGACGAGCCGTACAGTACAAYTCGATCCGGAGACCCGGCGTCGAGCTTTCTGCGAKGGCAAACCGATCTCTGGTGGTGTTCAATCTCTATTTGAAAACCAYGTGCTCTRWTTTTTATTGTTGCGTCGTGCATGGCCCAATCGCCGGTCCCATCGTTCGAACCRTTCMTTTGGYTCCTTSCAGGGGCGGMGACGAYTCTTCTTCCCACCCGAGGGCCGTYAGGAAGGATCCCACCAGGTACAGCGACCCCGTGACAAAGACSCGCGTCGCTCTGGGTTCGCCGGACRRAGGCGAGCAAGCTGCACCACCTCCTTCCTCCCGGATCTCGTCCCAGACCTCGCGGGCGGTCTGGTTGCAAACGACSGKGCCKGGGGCCTCCCYGCTTGCCGCCACCAGGTGCTTCCAYACCACGGCGAGGGTTTCCTGCCACGTCTCCGGTGCYGTGGGGTTCCTCCCCACCACCGAGACCGAAAGGTCCTCYCGAACGACGATCCCACGCTCCCCCAGGAGGGAGGAAGCGGAGGCCCTGGCCACGGGGGACGGCCGGGACGAGTCGCTCCTGGCGAAATACACCCTGGAGTACGAGCGGGGGCGGGCGGCGCCCTTGCCGCGGTCGGGCGGAAGCAGCAGCAGCTCCATCAGCTCGACAGGGTTCCGCTCGTGGCTGCAGTTGAAGACCAGGACGGCCGGGTCCCTATCGGTTTCGGTGATCGACCGGAACCAAGCGACCGTGAACCCCAGGGACTGGGGCGTGTGGGCCCCGTCCATGTAGAATTCCACGCTGCCGCTGCTACTGCTGCTGCCGGGCTCCTTCCACGAGAGCCTCTGGCACCGCCCGGGCCAGGCGGCCCCCGCGAGGGCCGAGAGGGTGGTGGGAGACCCGGCTTGGAGGATGCCCGGTGGCGACGCGTCGTCGTTCTCTTTGGTGGCGGCCCGGCACAGGGCCACCGCCAGCGTGGCGTTGCCGTACTGGTGGTCGCCCGCGAGGCCCAGCGACGGTCCGGGCCGCCCTTGCTGCYGCTGCGCTCGCATCGCCGCACGGAGATCGGTCCCGGTGGCGTCCACCAAGGCAAGGGTTCCGCCCATTCCCTCCACGCCGGCACAGYGGCGCATCACGTCGAYCACGCCCTGYGYGTTGCTGTCGAGAACCCAGAGGGAGTTYGGGGTGGCCTGGGTCTCGCCGCTATCGCTTTCGCTGCTCGTTTTGGGGGCTGGMGCGGCGGTCTCYGWGGCGCTGCCGGTGAGAGGCCTCGGGGACGTTCCCGATGGATTGAGTTTGTTTGCGGACRCGATCCCKCCCTTTTCCCAGGCGATTGCTTCYAGCGTGTTGCCGAGAATCCGGGTGTGGTCCAGGTCCAGGAGGGTGACGCCGTGCGCCACGGATCGAAAGCAGCCGGTGTCGATAAAATTTGTCGCATCGTAGCGACCCCCCATCCCTACCTCCAGGACGACGACGTCCACACCGGGCAGCTGGTGCAAAAACGWATAGAGGCCCATTAGCGTTAGCATCCGAAAATAACCGGGRAGCAAGGGGGGCGGGTCGTCTGTGGTTGGCTGCGGAAGGCGATTGCCGTCTTGTTGGGATCCAGAACCGGTGGTTRTGGGATTCGGAGCGTCTGTCTCTAGCGCGGTGCGGACGGTCCAGTAGGYATCCGCGAACACGGTAGGGTGGACGGGCTTGCCGTTCCATCTGATCCGTTCCCGGATGTCCATCAGGTGGGGGCTCGTAAAGAGACCGGTCGAGTACCCGTGGGCGCGCAGAATTGCCTCGCACATGCAGGCAGTGGATCCCTTTCCCTTGGTGCCCGTGATGTGGATCAATCGCACGGGACTTTTTTTCGTGTGTGCAGAGGCCGTATCAACATTTCCCGTGTGTCGCAAGATCTTTTCCCAGTAATACCGCATGTCCGAAACGGTCTTGGTCCGGCGGAGAGCCGATCGGGCGATGTCCTCCTTCGTGGTTGCTTGGTGCATCCCAGGTGTGAGCAGCGCTCTTACCGCCGATTCGTAAGAATGGTCGACRGCACCATCGTTGTGGGTTTCCTTCGGTGATATTTCTTTGCTCGTAACCATGGGTGGTTTGGTTGGGTTGCGTACGAGCTCTTCACACTTCAAGGAGAAAAATTTGCACGATGCGATGTGAACAGCAAATGCGTCTTGGATTGTTTTTCAACTTCAATTGCAATATTGGAAGATCGAAAGCAGACAATGACAGATACAGAATTATTAAGGATGCATGACACCACCGAAAACAAATCAATGGATGACGCCCGGGACCCGGGACTCTTACGTTCCTGTTAGTACATACGTACTGTTACGTACTGCTCGTGCAGATTGGAAGAACTATTTAAAGTTAGTACTTTTTTCGAAGGAAACGAAAGGGGAAACTACGGTAATAATACCTTGTACAAGTACGTACGTAATACACTGTTCTACAATTCGTAATTCATATCCATCATATCTTTTGTACATATTATTACATCRTACGAATATACCCAGTATACTTGCGTACCTGTACTACTTGCACGTCTTCCTCACTTTTCGGTTAACGCGCCGTTCAGATTGTCAACGCATACGGTAGGTTTCGGCGATTCACAGTTGGATCGGAAGTTTTCTCTTCGAACWGGAGGATAATTTTGAAATTTACGTACGAACCCGTTCTTGTGTGCTACCGTTCGGTAGTGTACTTAGCTTCCACCGTCGGTTTGATGGATTGGGTCCTATCTAATATAAGGAGTTCACAGAAATTGGATAGGAAATAGACAAGAAAACACAAACAACCGAACGAAGCCAGCGACACAACTCACCACCTTCACCACCCTTCTTTTGGTGCTAAACAAAGACTTCCATAGTAGTTCATTTGAAAAACCTGATTTGAGCAACAATCAGCTTGCATAGACACGCAAAGCAAGCATCATGCCTCTCTTTACGGATCGGCGATCGTCGGCGTCGATMTCGTACTCCGTCCCACTTAACGACACCAGTAGCGAAGAAGAAGAACCAGAAAGTACCGTCCAAGAAGTACCATGCGGAACCGTTCAGGAAGTACCGAATACAAGAAGCAAGAAGCGAAGGAATCTGGGCCTACTGGGGAGACTTCGCTGCTTCCAAAAGCCGCCGCAGATAAATCCCGGTGACTATCATAACCACAACTTCATGCCCCCGCCAAGCATACCGAGAGAGATCACGACGYGTCAGCACCGAAGACGGGCGGCGGTCTTCTGCGGGTTTTGTGACATGCGYATCGCCTCCGTCCTGCTCAACGTTTTGCACATGTCGGTAGCGATCATCGTGGAGATCTCCGAGGCCTSCAAGTGGGGGAACCGAAATTATTTTGAGGAGCCACCTATYCTCCTCCTGATGGTGCTAGCCTGCTCTGGCGTAGGAATGCTCGGGGCTCTCCACTTTGGCCCCAGCGCGGTGCTGTTCTCGTCAATCGGCCTCTGCGGTCTCTCCTATTTGTACTTTGCCGAGATGAAACTTCTTGGGCTTGTTCTAGCCTGTTCCATTATCGCAGCGCAGTTGGTCTTGTTTCTAGAGATGATGTGCGGKATCATGACACCGGACACGTACGCCATGGAAGAGTACATCGACGACGACGGGAGGAAAATTCTCGAAACGGTCCACGGCTTGTCGGTCGACATTGGCGAAACTGCCGTCGAGTTTGCAGAGGAGGTTGCCATTGCCATGGACCAACAAAAACCTGAWTCATCGTCCTCGTCTACTTCGTCGGCATCTTCCTCGTCGATGCGCCGAGAKGGAAACGAAGAATGCTAGCGACGAGCGGCTATTTTTGTATATTCATAATCCACCCCTTTGACACGACAAATACCCTCTATACCTTGAACGAATGRAAGGAGTATTACACCAAAATGTTTTGAATCGATTTCCCCTGTCCCCAATCGAAGGTTTGGAATCTCAACGCGTAGAATTTTGCTCTGTATTGTCAAAATTGYTTCGCAGCGATGCCAGTTACAGTAATCTCTGGAAAAGGTTCGGAAACACTTTTGATGAATGGATCGTACATTTGAAGTGCATTAATCTAAATAATATCGCTAATCAGAATTCATCCGAATCTATGACATAAAACATTGTAACCATCTCTTAGTGACTTCCCTATGACRGCCATATAGGAATCAAGGAATTACATTATTTAATATCTCTCGATCATGCTGCAAGAAGAGGCACCCTAAATTTCTATTTTGATTTGGCTTTGCTCTGTTGCTATGACGACTGGAAGTAGCACTGTAATTTATTGCTCAGAATAGGGTGCTGCTAGTGGTTTCTTGCTCCCTGCTATCGTTACTGGCACATTGAAATCAAAGTCAATACAGAATTACTTTGATGATTTCAGTATAAGTGATGGTTGTAGCAATAATGATGTTCATACGATATGGCTGGGAATACAATGGAAGAAATTGGMGATTGTGGAAAATGTAGGTTAGCAAGCTTTAGAAGAATTGGAGCTGAGTTAGAACCTACTTTAGATGTGCCAGCTTACATACAACATTGAATTGAATTCAGATCATTAATATAAATGAGAGTTAGGTTTTTTACTTGCAATGACTGTCTTGACTAAAATCTAATGCACCATATGTGGCAWAACAAGGGATTTTGGTGGGGTATCATGGACAATTCATTTCGGAGGCTTCTTGTGTGGCTGCATCACCAGAATTTGTAATTTGGATCACAAGAGTCCTTTTGAATCAATTCCTTTGTAATTTGTATGGATTGTCCCCTAGTATTAGTAAGAGAAGCAGATGACTGTGCGCTTAATTTTTGCAATGAGCATTTCTAGATCTTGTATAACTGTTTTGGTTTCTAACTGGTTCACTGCTTATTTCTAGATCTTGTATAACTGTTTTGGTTTCTAACTGGTTCACTGCTTGTTCTCTTTGGTCTGTGAATTGATTTTTGTTCCCCTACCACAACACTCTATTGATATTTCATTTTTTTCGTTAGTCACCACTTCTGGCAGAAAACTCACCCAATTCAAATTTACTTGCAATCCTTCTCCCTCTTCTTTTGTGAGTTTTGTTCTTATTTTTGGCCATAGCAAATTCAGATGCAGCTGTAATTTCTTTCAGATTTTGGACAACAATATACTCAGAAAGATTCCCTGGTGCTGAGAATGTTAGAACATTCCTGCTGTTTCTTTTTGCAATGGATTGTGATTCTAAATCATATATTTTACTTCTTGTAACATGAATGTCACCACCTCGCCAGATTCTTGAACTAAATTTTGTCTGTTTCTTTTTTGCCCCACACCAGCAATACAAAATCCGTATGGTGGTACCTACTGCTACTATTCTGCTTCATTTCCAACCACCATCATGATTTCTTCCAAAATACACATCAGCACACAAACAGCTGCTGAGATCTTGTGGATAACTTTTTTCTACTCTGATGATAGTACAACATAATCAGCATGCTAATCAGCATGCTGATAGTGGAACACCACCACACCAACACTCCTCTGCTGAGGATGAGGACAAAACTGATGGAGAGAGTCTTTTAGTACTACCTTCACTGGCCACTTTGCATCCCAGTTGCCACAAAATGATTTGAAGAAGGCTACTACTAGTWGAGATAATCCTCTGGTGTAGGAATTGCCTTTCCTACTTGTAACAGGAGTATTGGCAGCAGTCTAGTAGCTGTTTTGATCATTACAGATGTGTTTAATTCCTTACTTCCCATCAGTCCATCAGCCTATGAATCATTCATTTTGTTYACAATGTGTTTTTGTGATTGCTGAGGATGTAATGATGATGATGTCAATCACACATATAATCTACTTTTTCCATCCCTTTTTTACTAGTAGTAATATTTTTTGTTTTCAAACTTCAATTTCACTGGGTAGATAACATGATGAATAAAGGAAATCTATTTCTTGAATTGTCACAATGTGTAGGTATTTTCAACATGCATCATCAAGATTCTTCTTGTGGTCATGATTGTTCATAGTAGTCCTAGTAATTATTACTACTAAAACATGATATCAACAGAAGCTGCTCATCCTCCATGAGGAAAGAAAGCTAGTGCCAATAGTACTTCTTGTACTAGAAGAATGACCTTTACATCATGATTCTAGTAGTAATACTAGTAGCTACTACTGCAACAAGTACGACTACAACTCTTAGTAGTAGTACTGGTACTACTAGTACTAGCAGTACTCCTGGTGATGAGGACACCACCACCTTATTGTGCATAGTACTACTACTAGTACTAATTTACTATTGGTTGTCGTCACCATTTGCAAGAAATGCTAACAAAGCATACTAGGTCTTCTTAGGCACAACTGAATCAAAAGCAACATATTACTAGTATTGTGCAAAATTGACACCCAAAAATTGCAGTTCTTGTTCTAGGTGTTGTTCTAAAGTAGGTAGGTACGTACCGTACATACCGTAGGAATCACACATAGGAACCAATGCTTCCATGGGATGGTCGTGGACGCGCGGCTGGTGACGGCCCAGTTCACGCCAGAATGAATTGTTGCTCGCGCGCGTTTTGAAAAATGCGGAATCCTCGATCCGCATTTTTTTGAAAAGTAGGTGACGCCCAAGCAAGAACCACGAAGCAAGATCGTTCATGCATGCACACATACACCTGCTGCTTCCTCGTACCGTAGAGGATCCTACGGTTCCGTACGATACCGATCGTACTTGGAACGATGCTGTTTTCTTCTCTGGGGGTGATGCAGTCTACAGTACGAACCTTGCCACACCGCAATCCCACAAAGAACACGGTTCCGACCGGTTGGTGGCTTCTTGCAAGAATCGAATCGAATCGAATCGATCGAGACAACCAATCCTCGCAAAGCGGGAGGACTCCGGCAACGCCCAACAAGAACTGCACCACACCCATTCACTTCACACGCAAGCGGACACCGGTTCTATACAATCGTAGTGATATCCAGCCATGGAGGACGGYGCATCGACGACAACCGCAWCGACGGGGGCGAGCGCCCCCCGGGACCTTACCGGCCTGATCCAGATCACCAACGAGTACGAGCTCCACGAAGAGGAGCCCCCGCTCCCCCCGGCGGTCGGGGTTGCGGAAGAGGGTGGTGGTGTSGCRCAACTYGTCACGAACTGCCCCTTCCCGGGCGCTCCCGGCTTTTGCCCGGTAGGCGGCGGAGCAGGCAAGGACGACGGAGGCACCGGCAACGACGACCACGACGGCAACGAAAACGGCTGCTGGCCCCGGCCTTGCGGCTGCCCCACCGCCGGTGCCGAAGGGTTTGCGAGCGGGATGGTTTCGGGGGCGGAAACCGCCGGGAGGGAGTCCCTTTCGGTCCTCGCCTTGGCCTCGGGGGGGGCTTTGGAGGGCGCCCGGTGGCACTCGGCGCGGGCCGCGGAGGCMCTCGGWGCGGCGGGCCGGGGGGTCTTCGAGGCCTCGGTGGCCTCGGTGGAGGGCGCAAGGGARACGGCTTGGGCCTKCGAGGGATCCCTGCGGTCTCTGGCCTTTTGCCTCTGGGAACAACGGGCCCTGCCGCTGTGGGAAGGGGCGGTGCCCTACCTGGCGGGAACCGGGGAGGGGTGGTCCGGGGAGGCCGGGGCGGCCGGCTGCCTGTTGGAAGGCACCCTCCGGGCCTTTGGGAGGGTGGTCTTTTGCGACAACCCGGTGACGGGACTCTTTTGCCTGGCGGGGATCCTGTGGGCGTCTCCCCTCGCGGGGCTTTGCTCCCTGCTTTCCGCGCTGTCGGTGAGTCTAAAAGAACAGAGCAGAAAAGAAAAKAACAGAGCAGAGGAGCAGGACATCAAACACGAACATGCCAAAGCCGTTTCTCGGCTTGCCGCAACAACCGAACGCGTTCGGCGTTTCCCTCTTTCATCGTTTCCGTTTCTCACCAAACACTCTCCACTYTGCACTCTCTTTGTTTGAACCAACCAGGCCAACGCGGTTGCCCTGTTTTGGAACGAGGACCAAGGCACCCTGCGAAGCGGCCGCTGCGCCACTAACGCGGTCCTGACCGGCTCCTGGATCGCCGGTTCGGTGGACCCCGGATTCTCGGATTCCGCAACCAAGATCGTGCTCTTTCTGGCCGTGGCGGTGCTGGCTCCCGCCACGCTGTGGATCGAGCGCTGCTGGAGCAAGAGGTGGGGCGGCCTGCTTCCCCCGCTCCTGCTGCCGGCCAACGCCGTGGTGGTGGCCACCGTCCTCTGCGCCGGTGTTTGGAACCGCGCCATGGACACCCGTGTCGAGCTCTGCCACCGCGGCTGCATCGGTTCGTTTGGCGGCGCTGGCAGCGGTGCCGACGACATCAACGACGACGACGACGAAAGGTTGCCTACGCCGGGCCTCCTGGTCCACGAGGTCGTCCTGCACAGCCTCTCCGGCATCTTTTTTGCGGAGAATCCCCGCAATCCCGGTTCCTTCGCAACCGGCGCCCTGGTGCTGATCGGCGTCCTGTGCTGCAGCCGGGTCCTCGCTCTGGCGCTGGCCGGCGGGGCCGCGGCGTCCGGACTCGGCCTGGGACGCCTCGTGTTCGGGGCTTCCGGCCAAGCCCTGGACGGGGGGGACGTCTTTGGGGTCAACCCGGCCCTGGCAGCGGCCGGAATCCTTTATTACTACGGGTCCCGCGGCCGCAACCCCCCAAGGAAGACCCTGGGCCTGGCGGTCCTYGCGGCGTTCGCGGCGGTGGTGGTCCAGTCCGCTTTCGACGCGATCCTGGAACTCTTGCTGTGAGTCGAGTCGAGTCGAATCGAACGCATCCCGTCCCGTCCTGTTGGATTGCTCCCTTGCCGCACTGGTTGGCCCCCACGAATTGGCCCCAACGAGTTCCTCACCTCCCTTTCCCACCCACTTGGGTTTTTTTTTCATTTTCATTCTCTGGCTCTCTTGCAATGCCGCCACCGCTTCTGCCCACCAAAGCAGAGACGATCCGGTAGCCACGTCGCTCGGATTCTGTTTCACCCTCCTGCCACTCTTGTCGTCCTCCTCGTCGGTCTTCCAGAGGATTCCCGAACCGGAACTCTCGACGCCCGAAGACCACGGCCTTTGTCTCAACCTTTGCAACCAAAAAAGCAAAGAGGACGACGACGACGACGACGACGACGACGAGGCAGGGGGATCCTCGCTACTCGGGGACAGCGGCAGGGGAAGCGGGATTGCCAAAAAAGGTAGCGACGGCAGCGACGACGATTACGAAAACATCGAGGCACCTCCCGCGAACGAGAAAACCCCGCTCCTAGATTCGCCGTGAAGCCTGCGGGCTCTCCACGGCGCACACGTGGTATCGAGTGCAGCATTRGTRTTCGCGACAAAATCGATTCTTTGCAGAATTGTTGTCCTTCCAYTGGAGTCGAAGCRTTGACACCAGAAGACCACGGCTCTCCGATCCAAAAGAAGGCGGGGCGGGGATGGCAAAGACTACAACATTGGGGCATTTCTTACCATCGACAAGACCCCGCGCTCTGAGATTTGCTTCGAAACCCACGGGCAGCACTACTTTGTGTCGAATGTAGAAGAACTGTATATCGCAGAATGGATTGAATACGGAATTATCTACTATTTTGYTATTGTRAACTCRTRCTCGTASCTAGCTTGCTTCCTTCTCGGACGGTGCGGGATCGATCGCACACGCCCGGCCCGGCCCGGCTTCCTTTTCGGTTCCGCATCTGTTCCGCTGCTACACCATCGAGTTCGCCGGCGAGACGTAGCTGTGGGCCATCTCCACGAACTCCCGGCCCCCCTCCGCGACGTACTCCTCCTCCTCGAAGGTCTCGGGCGTCATGATCCCCTCMCTCATCTCCCTGGTCAGGACGGCGTGCGGGTACAGGAGGAGGCCGTTCACCAGAACGTCGATCCACTCGCCCTTGGCGAGCCGGAACAACAGGACGCACCCGATCCCGGCCGTCGCMRCCAGCATCCCGTCGACACTCCAGTTCATGGCCGAGTGCAGCCCGAGGGCGGAGACCCCCGCGACGGCCAGGGCCCCGAAAAGGGTCCGGAAGACGCTCTGGGCCCCGTACGAAGAGCCCTTGTMCAGGCCGAAGAGGACGGCCAGGACGATYGCCACCAGGAGGGTAAAGAGGATGTTCAGAATGTCCAGGACCACCGTGGCGGTCCGCATGTCGCACAGGCCAAAGAAGAGCTGCGACCGGCGGTTCCGGTGGGTCGACGCGGTGGCCGTGCCGCTGGTGGTGCTGCCCGCCGTGCTCTGCCCGGGCGCCGTTCCGGGCTCGTGGCCCGTGCCTTCGTCCGCCTGCCGGACGTACCCCGTCTCGGGGCCCTCGGCGCTGGTCGACATGATTGGATGGTTGGCGTTTGTGGTTGTTGTGGACGACGACGGTGTGGGCTGTGAGCTCTGGGCTGTGAGCTGTGTTTCAAACCGGGTTGGCGACGGGATTGGTTTGGATGCGATGCGATGCGRAACGGAAGGATCCCAACGGGATATTATTGTTTTGTCCTCTGTGGATRTGGATATTGCTTGTTTCCAAAAGAGGCCCTTGGTCCCTTCACACACCTCGCGGGTTTCGAATACCGTTGACGACATACTATACCGGTACGATTCTCTGAAAAGGATTTTATTCCTTGATTTTATCAATCACGAGATTCGATAGAATCGTCATAGTATTTAGTCGGATACCGTCTCGCTTCAAATTCAAACYKGTTTGGTTCGGGCGCGAAGCAGAGCAGTTCGATGCGACTACCATACTCTTAAATCGCCGGAGGCAGAGACCCATGCCGGCAGCTCCAGAACCGAAGACATACAACAGCTGGCGCGTGTCATTGGGCAGTTAAAAACAGGTGATGCCCCGGTGTCTAGGTTCTTTGGCGAATCGTCGGATTCGAACGGGTTGCCGCGCTCGATATACGTAGCAAAGGTTTTTCAAGTGCAACCCACGTGTTTTTACTCCACTCTACTGGTTCGTAATTACTCATACCCTAAACACATACCTATCATATATGGGAATGGATATTTGTACGAGACATCAGAAACCAGAGCCTGTTTCGTAGCGGGAGTATTGGGGTTGGGGGCATTCTATTGTATCAGATTGTATTCCAATGGATGGCATTTTGTATTATTCTATTCGGCTGTGCCGCACTTGGCATCGGGCGGATCGATTCGTTGCTGGTGGGCGATGGCCTCCCTCCACCAAGCGGAATCGAGGCGGAGGTCGACGACTCGGTGGTCTCGCTGGCCCTCGCCCTCGCCCCCGCCGCGGGATTCCAGCGGAAAGGCCAGCCGGCAGCACTGCAGGGCCATCGTGTCCGCGAGGGGCGGCGCGTCGGGGTCGCCGTAGAGCGCATCGCCCACGATCGGGCACCCCAGGGCCGCCAGCTGCCCCCGGATCTGGTGGGTCCGGCCCGTCAGCAGCTCGATCTCCAGCTCGGAACAGAGCCGGAGCCGGGGAGGGCCCTCTGGTGGCCGTTGYGGCGGCCGTTGCGAGCCTCCCGCGTGCACCCCTGGGAGGGGGGTTTGGATCGCGACCGGGGCCGTGGCGCTGCGAACGCGCAACCGGCAGCTCTGCCACCGGCTGGTGAGGACCCGGTCCTTTGCCGCGGGCGGTGGTGGTGGATCGGAGGAGGAGGACGGCGACGATGCCTCCGCCGGGGGGGGCGGTGGGACGTCCACAAAGGGCTTTGGGGTATCCGCGTTGGCGTCGACAAAGTGCTCGACGATCCTCCCGTCTCCGTGTTGGGACCGAAAGGAATCCCATGCTGTATCGGAGGAAAAGGAGACGAGGCAGCGGTACCGCTTCTGGATGCTCCCGACAGGACGGTTCTGGTCGTTGCTTTCAACGCTTCCGCCCGCCGACGAGGGTTGGAGTGCATCCGTCGTTTTGCGCGCCAGGAGCTTGCAGAAGTACGAGGCGGCGGACTTGTTCGTGGCCACCAGTATCAAGCCGGACGTGTCCGTATCGAGCCTCTGGGGCAGCGTGGCGTAGGGAAGGCTCTCGTTCTCGTCCTTGTTCCCGCTGCCGACGTTGCGCTTTCGAATGGCTCGCTGCCGAACGATCTGGTATTGGTAGAGAAGGTTTTCGACCCCATTGTCGATCGTCGAATGCGATGGCAACCCGGAGGGTTTGTGGAGGACGGCAAACGTGGGGGCGGGTTTGGGAACCAAAGGGCGGGCCCGTCGCCTTCTGTGATTGGCACCGCTTCTCTTTGTGGTGCTGCTTCTGATGTGTTCTTCGCGGCTTCGTTCGTCACCGTGCGCCTCGTGTTCCCACACAATTCCGGTTTGGGGATGTTCGAACGGCTCGGAATTTGTCGCCTGGGGTTCTGCCTCTCGTTCTTGCTCGTCAAAGGCGCTCCTGAGCCTGTCGCAGGCCGACGTGTACCTCGACGGCCTGGAATGGACCCTGAGGGCCACGAACGGGCGAACGAGGAGGAGGCTGTTGCTGGAAGCAAGTGGTGGCGGCAGCGCCAGGAGGCGTCGGAACGAGGGAGGGTTCTGCGGCCGGTCCACCGCGGTCGGATCCATCACCCAGACCGACCCGAGCTCCAGGAGCGTCGAGGCACTCGCCGGGGCAAAGGAGGAACACTGTTCTTGATGTTGTTTGCCTGCTTCCTCTATGATCCGGTCTAAAAGATCTTCCACAGGCACAGTCACATCGACGGCGATCTCTGCACCGCCTTCCTCGTTGGCTGTAGGCACGATCCGAGCAAAGATGGTTCTTGTAGGGGAATCGAGGCCCACAAGCTCCAGCACGAGTTCGGGTCCAGGTCGAGTTCCGAATCCGCATTCCTTTTGCTGTAATGGCGTAGGATATGTTGTCGAGATTGTTTCCGTTTTTGCGGTTGCGGTTGTTTCGGTGCTTGCTGTTTCTGTTTCGCCCGCACGGCATTCACCAGTGTGCAATCCCAGCGGAACGCGAACTGCCCCTTCCCACCGGCTCTCGTCGGTTGCCCGACTGGTGGCTCCGCCCCTATAGTGTCCCCTTGCCATTTTTCGGCTAGGTATTCTGTGCTTTGTTTCGATTTGTGCCTTGCGTATGATTTGCGATTCGCAACTATTTTCTTTCGTGGACTTGTTCAAGACAAGCCGAATGTGTTTGGTTTCGCCAATCAACAAAAAAGCAACGCCTATACCGGCGTGCTCAAGGAGGAAGGCAAGTATATATAATGAAGCAACTATCGCTTTGTTTTTTACATTCATTTCATATTGGTGTGTTGTGAATTCTTTTGTTGTTACGATTTGTTTGTTTGAATTCGTTTTGTTGCGTTTTTCGACAACGAGGAACGYGTAGGAAGGACGCACCAGATTTCTAGATTTCGCGGGAGGTGCTTTCGAAAAATGAAAAATCATGAAAAAATATCTGATGGAAAAAAGAAAAAGCAAGAACTCCCAACTCCCAACATAGTACGTGCGTACCTACCTACCCTATGATCTTAACGTCACCTAGTAAAATATTGTTATTAMTTTGATCAATTGATGTCACGGCACCGATCGTGTAAGCGAACGTGAAGGAAAACTTTTGAGAGCATCTGTGATTTACTAAGAATACTACATAAACACGTGTTCTGGAGGGCTCTAGACTAGCGTGGCTTAGATGTTCCAGCACGGTGCGTCTACAGCGGAGTGCTTGGAAAAGAAAAGGAACTACCGATCTTGTATTCCATAGGAGCGTTCAGAGCTAGAAGCGASGCCCCAGACGACCAAACTCGCAGCCACGAGGCCCACGATTGCTCCATGGCCTTGTTTGATGTTGGTGCGCGGTGTTTTTCTGTTGCTCGTTCGCTGTACCACCCTTCCTCTCGTGTTTCGTTTCGCTGCCCCGTCACGGCCTCGTTCCAACGCCGGCACAGGTATCGAAGACGATCCGGGCGGCCTCGTCGGCGAGGGCGTCTGCTTCCTCCCGCGTGGCGGCCTCGGCATAGACCCTCACCACGTCCTCCGTCCCGCTCGGCCGCACGAAGCAGCGCCCGCTCGAAACCGATTCCATGGCGGCCTTCAGTAGGGGCTGGACCGCCTCGGGTTTCAGGCACTCGCTCTCGTTGGAGCTGCACTCGATGATCGTTCGGTCCTCCACGGTAACCTTGAGCATGCGGCTAGGGAGGTCCTCGTAGAGCTTGGTGCTCCAGTCTTCCAGCGTCCAGCCGAGCTCCCGGAGGAGGTAATCGACCAGAAGCATGTCCGAGAGGGCGTCCCCGACGGCCGGATTGATCAGCCGGTGCAGCCGCACAAAAAAGGGATCGGGGCACTGCTGGGCAAAGGCCTCGAAGGCCTTGCCAAAGACGACCGTCCCGTGGCCGTTGGCCTCGAAGTAGATCCCCACGTCAAAGTGCTCGACGGCGGAATGGTGGAGGTGCTTGACGCCGGTCTTGGCGATTTCCACCGGGATGGAGAGCGTGGATCGCACGTAGTCCGTCGATGCCCCGTTCGCGTAGGCCGTCTGGACGATACCCATTTTGACCGGGGGGAGGGAATCGCCACCCGCGGCGACCGCGGACTGGAATTTTTCCTTGAGGACGTGGGCGATCAGGATGGCGATCTTGTCGCCGTCCAGCAGTTGGGCGAGTTCGGTGCCGGAGGCCTGGCCGAAAAAGACGATCCGGTCGGCGTCCCCGTCCAGGGAGCAGCAATAGGGAAAGGAGAAGGAGTCRCTGGGTTTGGCGGCCGCGCACCAGTTGGGAGGCGAGAGCTGTTTCTGGACGTGCTCCGATCCGCACGAGTCGTTCAGGGGCCCGTCGGTTTCTCCGTTGTGCACGCACAGCGGGGTCGGAACCACGCCGGCGTCGCCGCTCCCGGACAAGCGCTGGATTTCCTTCCAGAGTTCGTTTGCCGCACGAAATCCGACGCCGCAGGCCCCGTCGACCCGGAGGGRAACCAGTGACTCCGGTGCTGCGGCAGTGCCCGTTTTGGCGGTGAGGCCTTTCAGGAGATCGACGTAGGCCTCGGCGTAGGTTTCGATGTAACCGCATCGCGTTGGCTTGGGATCGATGTAGGGCGGCAAAAAGGAGGGGTTGRAATGCAGGACGATGTGGTGGAGCATCGGCGTGGTCAGGACGCCGAGATCGGAAACCCTTGCGGAAAGCGGTGCGGCAGGCGATGCATCTTCTCGCTGCCTCGACAGGACACACTCAACAAAGGCGTTGGCCCCCTCGATGAGCAGGTCCGATAGGCGGGGGGAATGGGACCGCGTGTCTCGTCCCACTACGAGGACGAAATCCGAACCGGCATTGTTCTTGTCCGCCAGCACCTCCCTYGCCRATTCCTCCAAAAAGTCACGGAACTTGACGGGATCCCGTTCGTTCACCCATTTCGTGAGAAACGCTTCCTGGGGCGGCGTCAGCATGCTTCCGTCTGGGTTGGCGAGTTTCACTCCGTTGTAGGACTCGTCGTTGTGGGACGCCGTGATCATGACGCCGGTGGTAATGGTAGCATTTGTTGCCGCTTCGAGCGGCGGTTGTTTCATCAGCAGGAGAGCGCCAACGATCCCTACCCGAACCATGAGACCGTCCATGAGGTTGGCCTTGAACCGAAAGCCCGCCGTTCCGTAATTGAAAAAAGGCAGGGCATCCGACAGTGGTTCTCGAACGGTGGCGAGATCCGTCGCGGCTTGCAACGCATCGGAAGCAGATTTCGTGTCTTGCATGGCCACTTTGCTCGCTTCCTTTGTTTTTTCTTTCGAATGTGTAAAGACGGATCCACAGAAGTATAGAATAGATACGGTCGACGGGTACGAGGTTAGTATCGAGGAATCTACCTGTAGGTTTGTGGTTTGCGAGAAAGATTCGGGTCGGGCATCGTATTTACGAACATCATTTTTCCCCCGGACATAAGCGATCGAATAATGACTGTACTCGTACTCGTATGTCCCGTACCTGTAGTAAGGCAGAAGAACAGAGAAAAAAAGACCAGCGTTAGGTGTGTGAGCCGAGCGACACGGAAAATCAGTAGTACGAAGTACGATAATATTCCCAGCACTTTTTGTTCAGTCATGGCTTTCCTTAGTCCGTAGTCGGATGGACGGATGGACGATTGACCGAGTGGCACTGCAAGCGCGAGAAAGCATCGTCGTCTCGCACGACTGAWTCGCGGTACGTATTCACGTATCATACCGCATTGTACTCAGTACGCCTTGCACCTCCAGCGTCCGGGCCGAGCACGGCACAACGGAACGAAAAGCGATGCTSCCATACGTTACCGGTAGGTGGTGGGGTGAAGGATTTCACAACGCAGGAAATCGGAAAATGCAAGGTACGAGTAGTAAGTAAAGCACGTCGTGTGGCCGGGTCTCAAGAGTACGAACTTGCAAAATCATAAAAAATCTCATGTTTTGTACGGTACGAAGTAATACTGCGGAGGTACGTACACTACGAGATGCTCGTCCTCGGAGCCGTACAGCACCGGGTCGAAACAGCGAGAGAAAAACTCCCTGTCATGTTCCACCAAAAGAAACAGTAGAACTAATTGAATTGCATCGGTCGGTCTAGAAGCAAAAGTTGCTCAGTTCTTTGCAGTTGGATGGACTAAGACATTTGACGATCGTTCAAAGCGGATAGAGAGATAGAGAAAGATAGCAGAACAAACCAAAACCAAAACAAAGCAAGAAAGTACTCCAAAACAGATTGTCTCGTTTGCACCKAGAAACTTTGCTCTGCTCCGATCGACCCGGCTGAAACCGACTTTGCTGCACTCCCATCGACTTCATCGAGAATGGCGAAGGGTTCTGTTGGTCGTCGAAGGACGTGCCTCGAAAAAAATTTCATCGTGATAGCGGCATTGACCRCGGGGTTCGTCCTTGTGCACCCCAGGCCCGTGGATGCGACCCTWCTCGGTGAAACCGCAGGCATCGGGGACACGCCCGACCCCACAGATRTCAAACATCGCTTTCTGCGCGAGGACAACGACTTTTACCAAAGCGAGGACGAGGACGATGATTACGAAGACGAAGACGAAGAAGATGAATACAAAGACGACGACCCTTATCGTCACACCGAAGCTCCCACGCCCGATCCTATCTGGAAGGATCTCGATGACTACGAGTGGATGTTTGAAAATTACCACGGCGATTACGGGCTGAACAACGTTATCTTTGCGGACGACTTTGAAAATAGAGACACCGAGTTGTTGTCTTCCTACAATGTCGACGCGCTTTCCTACCGCCCGCGCAACTCGGTTGTGTTGAACATTTCCGCGGGGGTCGTCCACTACGAGCTCCTCACCCACATCGAAAAAAATCGCATGACGCGAAGGCTTCTCAAAACGATGAGCGTGGTACTGAACAAATACGAGACCGAGACCGGACTCGGCCTTCCGGTTGTGGTCACCGACCGCGACTTTCTTGGCAAGGAACCAATCGAGCGCGAAACAGAGCACCGAGACTCCGTCGGGAACAAGGGCAGCCTGGGCGGCATCAACATAACACATTACATCCCCAAAGTAAGCGATCGCCACTTAGTGAAGATGGTACTGCACAATATCACGGTTCATACCTACGATTGGTTAGAGATGACGGTCATTTATACGGTGCAAAGAAAGCGAAGAAAAGATATCGTTGAGTTGCCTGAAGAAGACAATGACACCGGAGAAGAAGATTCCCCATCTAAMATCAGAGCATACATGTCAAATTTCAATAAACCAGTCAACAGGAGAAAAATTCGGACCAAGATCGAACACATTTGTCAATACGCATTGGAAGATTCCATTGATACCGGCCTCTTCTGGGACACCTTGGGGATGGTATTTAGTCGGGGTCACAAGAGCATGCATCTGATCTTGGGGAAAACGCCTTATATGCCCTACGCCAAGGGTATAGGTGCGGTTAGAGCTCCCGGGCATGAATACAGCCTAAAACAGCATTATTGTCCCGATCAAATACCGGTCGACTGCGGGCATTGTTGCCCGCCACCAATGGTGTCGGGCGATGTCCCAGCATGGGTAGACCCAAACAACGAGAACCAGCAATCKATGGAGAGCAACTACCAGCATCCCAACGGAACCTACGTCTATCCCATAGCCGACTCGCCTCTGGAAGTYGAGTGGTCGATCCGCGAGTGGGTCGGTCTCGGGATSATGAGCTTCACGACCGTGTTGGTTGTGGTGCTCTCGCTTGTGGCCCATTTCRTGTCCGAGCGCCGCAACARCCAGCGGCTCTGGGGCGCGGCCCTTACCAGCGAGGGTGTCGAAGAGATGTTGCAGGTGGGGTGGCGGTTCCGCCAGGGACCACCGACGGCCGGCGACGATCCGCGCACGCAGCAGCAACAGGAGTTGCAGCGCGAGTTTTATCTGCAGGTCTTTGACAAGGGCCGCGGCCCGGGGTACAACGACGAGAACTCCCTCCTCAAGGGTGGCATCGAGAGGGAGCGGAATGGGGCGAGAGGGGGAACCCCTGTTTCCACGACGGCACCCACCTCCTCCGCCAACACAAACCACCAGCGGCACGACTTTGCCGGCTGCGACGTGCCCCCGAGGTCCTACGGCGGACCGCAGCAAGCGACACCGAAGAAACCAACTTCGTAACACATCACATCACGGCAATGCAATGCAATGTAATTGGATGCACAGACGGTTTCACGCGCCCAACGATTGGGAACGTCTCCTCTATGAGTGCTTCGGGCTTGCTTATTGTTGCTTCTTCTTGGTCGACTCCAGCACRAGCWYAAGTGGAGACATACGTACAGATCCGGTTTCATCCCTGGAAACATACGTACAGATCCGGTTGCATCCCGAWCGCTTTGGGTGGATCAGAGGTGGGCTTGCACCGTGGTGTGTATGCATTGCACCACACCGCCTGGTGGATCGGAACGTTGGTACCGATGCAGGTATACGGAATGTGTTCCGATCSGGAGTTGTGGTGGTCGGGACGCACCCACAATCCACGACGCGGGGGGGRAAAGGATTCGGGTGTTCCAAGAGGCTCGACCACGAACAGAGTGTAACGAATCGCACGAATTGTATGACTGGGTGGAGCAACCAACAGACACGAAACAATTCGGTGTGCAAGATCCCATCCTCTCTTGGAGCTAACGATGAAGACAACAACAACAATAATATATTTATCATAACACCTCCTGTGCTTTTCCGAAAAGCCTCGATGGTTAAGATGTATTCTGTAGCAAGGAAATCAAGTTGTCTACCACTAGTCGTAAGTTTAGCGCTTTTTCTTTCTACTGCAATYATATTCTGATCACTATTTTGCCATGGTCGTCCGCCGATTCGAAACGAGGTGGAACTCTTTTTTTAAAACAATTCTATTCATCTTGTGTTTCGCGTTTTTGTCTTCTTCATCACCAGCTTGGAGCCGTCCATCGGCTCCGCTGTGGTTGCCACGGTTGCCGCTCCGAGCGGTGTTTGCATGCAAGCCTTTCGTCCCTGGAAGGATCCCCTCGCGGTACCGTACCCCGCTAGATCATCGCCAGGGCAGCAAAGTCCCTTGCCAGGCCGAGGCGCTCCGAGAGCCCGGCGGTTGCCTTGGTCCCCAGGGGTCCGCGGAGGGCCAGGAGCCACTCCAGCAGAAAGGAGTCTTCCGGGGTGCAGCAGCTGGGGTTGGCTTTTGCCCCCCGGCTCTTCTTGCTCCGGCGGGGGAGGCCCCTGCGGACCTCGTGGTCCATGGCGGTCCACACTGCGTCTCCCGCGTCGTCCCGGTCCGTTCCGAAAGACGAACCGGGGGTGGCCTTCCGGCCCCTGCGCCGCCTGCKGCGGCGGCGGCAGGGATGGCCGTCCTCGTCCCCGGCGGATGCCGCCCTGGCCATCCAGCCGAGGGCGTCCGCCATRCCCGATGCCACCGCCTGCACCGCGGAGGATCGGTCCCGCTGGAGCAGGAAGAGCGCCGTGGAAGCAGGGGTTCCGCTGGACCCGCCGCCGGAGTCGTCGCCGTGGTACCCGAGGGACTCCTTTTCGGCCACCCGGAACCTCGCCATGGCCCGCGCAGCGACCCCTAGGGCCGCCCTGGACCCAAACCCCCGGATCTCGGACAAAAGGGCCGGGGTGACCGGAAGGACTTGTGCCCGCTCCGGTTCTTCTGGCTCCCCGTCGCTCTCGCTGTCGCTGTCGGTGCCACTATCGGCGCTGCTGGTGCTTCTGCCGTCGTGGTCCTCGGCACCGCGAAGATTCGTGCCGGCCCGGTCCCTTGCCCGCTCTCCTTCCTTCTCGAGGGCGAGGCTCGTCCTCAGGAGAACAACGAGGACCTCGATGCGCAACGACCGCATCCGCAGCATGCCGGTTTCCCTCCGGCATTTCTCGGCAGCGGATTCTTGTGGTGGTTCGGGTTCGTCCCCCGATTCGAGGGCCCGTGCCTCTAGGTCGTCGTGCTCGAGGCAGGTCTTCCACCAGTCGGCAGCCCCCCCGGGGGCGTTGGTGAGCATGCGGGGGAGGAGGACCGAGGGGTGCATGGAGAGAGCCTTCTTCCATGCGGCGAGGGAGTGGTCCATCCGGGGTCCGTCCCAGAAGAATCCCTTGAGGGGTTGTTTGCTCCGGCCGGTGCTGGGCCTCYGGTGRGTCCTCTGGGGCCCCCACGTCAGAAGCTCCAACCACTGCTTGCAGAGCTCGGCCGATGGGATCGTTTGGGTAGCTACCATGGCGGTGTGGAGGTAGAGGGCACCTTCGCGCGGGCGGGAGGAGTTGATCGACTTCCAGAAGACGCTCGAGAGGGAGACGCTCATGTCACGGGGGGGACCCGGGGGAGGCACAGCGGCGGCGGGAGCCTCGCCTACCCCCGAGAGCCTCGGCCTCTTTTGCGGTGGCGGTTGCCCCGTGGCCTTGGCCCGCGAGCCGCTCCAGGACGAATCCCAGAACTTCTCGAGGGGGGACACGAGCGGGACGGGAGGGAGCTTCCGGCCGGACCCGGACGCTTGTCCCCTCGGTGCCGCCTTTGCCTTGGTTGTTGTCGGCAGTGCYGCTGGCTTGAAGACCTCTTCGGTTTCGTTGTTGTTTTCGTCCATGAGAACAATGCTACGAATCTTGGGTCCCAGCTTGAGCCGGTTGGTCAGGCTGCTGGCAGTACTGCTGCAAGGAGTTTCCGTGTCGTTGCCGCCGCTGCTGCCCAATGCCGCCTCGGGCTTGGTGGTGACTTTTGGTTCATCTTGCGTCCAGGGGGTCTTCTTTTTGACTCTCCTGCTGCTCCTGCGGAGAACGACACCGCTGCCATCGGTGGGAGAGTCTAGGAGCGACATGATCCGATTGGTCTCGGTTCCGCATTCCGGGGTTCGAATCGGTGACGTTTTTGATGTTGATGATCCTGGTTGTGATGGTGCTTCTGCTGCTGATTCTGCTGCAGGTGGTGATGCTTCGGCTGCCGATGATGGTKCTTTGGCTTTGGCTTTGGCTTCTGGTGATTTTGATGGTGATTCTGTTCCTGTTCCTGCACCGCTCCCATTGCCATTGCCATTGCCATTTGCATTGTCATTGTCATTGGCATCGCTGCCGTCGCTGGCAGAGTCCAGGAGCGACATGATCCGATCGGTCTGATTGCCATTCGCATTGTCATTTGCATCGCTGCTGTCGCTGGAAGAGTCCATGAGCGACATGATCCGATCGGTCTCGGTTCCGCATTCCGGGGTTTGAATCGGTGTCGGTTCCGACGTGGATGCTGCTGGTAGTGATGGTGCTTCTGCTTCTGCTTCTGCTTCTCCTGCTGCTTCTGCTTCTGTTTCTGTTTCTGCTCCTGGCGTGGCGGGGTCCTCCAGGCACACCGTTCGATCCGCCAGCGAGGATCTCCCGGTCCGGCCAAGCCCCGGACTCCTGCTTTCGGTCCGGGTTGGGGACCGGGAGGAGGGCTTTGTCGCTGCGCCAGCCGTTCCCCAGCGGACCACCTGGTAGGAAAAGGCGTCCCCGTGGATCGACAGGACGTCCCCCTCGAAGAGCGTGACCTCCGACGAAGGAGGAACGTCGGTGGGGGCCCCTCCGCTCTTCCGCTCTACCGCAACGGGGACCGGCTTGGCAAGGTTCCCGCTCTCGGTGGTAGAGGCCTCCGGGCACCGCCGGAGCGTCAGGCTGTCGGGGGAGGAGGCCTCCACCGAGAGGAGCTTGCGGGAGATGGCCATGACGACGCTCCGGGAGGGGAAGGCCGAGSTGGTGCTGCCAGAGCCGGTGGTCCCAGAGCCGGTGCTCCCGCTGTTGCTGGTGCTCCCGCTTCCGATGGGTTCGTCGCACCCGATGCCCAGCAGGGCGTACGACCTGGCGTGTCTGGMRAAGCCCTTCCGGAAGGCCTCCACGTCGCGGGCCGTCCAGGTCTGGTCCAGGGGCTTGAGAGAGGCCATGGCCCTGCGCATCCCCGTGGGGGTCCGCCCGAGGTGCATGCCCTCGCAGAGGGAGATGGGGGGGCCTTCCGGAAGGGCCGGGCCCCTTCCCCCTTGSGGGAGGACCCTCCGGCGGAGCCCCAGGGCGCAGCAGCCGCCCTTGTCGGCGCCCCTCGTGCGCCCGGCCCCCGGGCCTCCCGCTGGCTTGGAAGGCCCCATGCCCGGGTCCGGGGACCTCGCAAAAGCAATGGTGTTTGGGTCCACGTCGGTCAGCGCCGCGGCGGGCGTCATGSTACGGTCTTCCGTTCCGAAGAGAGTTGTGGTTTGGAAGTGCGGTGCTTGTGGGATGGATGGAGGGGGAAGAATTGAATTGAGTTGAATTGAATTGAATTCTCGTGGGGGTCTTTTGTGCGTCTGGTCGTGTCGGTGTGCCTAGTATGCTATTGTATTGGTGAAAAGGTCGGTGTGTTCTTTTTTTGAGGTTTCGAATTTGATTTCGAACGGGGGTCAGGTCGAAACAACGAAGCAGAAAAAAAATTCTCTGTACCGATACGAATACGAGTACGATTACGAGTACGAGCGCTGCGTTGATGTGTTCATTTTCTCTCGGTTCGATTCTTCCAGTCAATTCATTCATCCTTTCGAAGATGGACTGGTCCGGTCGTTGAAAGAAAGGGTACGAGTATTAGTACGTACTCATACAAGTTGCACGGGATTCCTACGGAAGGGACAGGAACGGTATTCGCGTACGACCTACGGTGCATCTCATACGGTAGTACTCGTACTAGGGTTAGCGGATCCGGAGTCCGGCGCGGGCCGGAGGGAGCGCGAGAGGTCCGAGCAGGCAAGAGAAAACGTTTCTCCTCCCGAATTATTTTTTGGCGCGTACTGTATCGAAGCATTTAGGCGACCGGGATTGGTTCCTAGAAGTACCTCCTACCGTACGGTACGTATCGTACTCTTTCAGGGTTCTTGGAATACCATACGTACACACGATACATAGGAAGGCCCACCGAGAAAGGCTGGACTAATACGTACGGTACGTACTCGTGTCCTTTTAGCCTAGTACAAGCTACAAGCCTATCAGAAGGCCTACAAGAACAATGTCTTCCTCTATCATAGGCTGTTGAAACCGGGAAACCGGTTTTGGGATTTTGTTTCCTACCGAAACTATCCTGTTCTCGTTAAAACATAATTCTAATATCATTACAATCCCGCATTATCTTCGTCCACCTTCGTTCTCCCACATCTCGCTACACTAGCGTCCTTGCCGGGCACGGCACCGGGCTCGTGGCCACCGGTGCTTCTTTGTTCTTGCTGCTTCTTTGTCCTTGCTGGTGGTGCTACTACTGGTGGTGCTACTGGTGGTGGTGCTGGTGTGGGTGCTGCTGGTGTGGGTGCTGCTGGTGTGGGTGCTGCTGGTGTGGGTGCTGCTGGTGTGGGTGCTGCTGGTGTGGGTGCTGCTGGTGTGGGTGCCGCGGCGATCCCGCCAGGGATTCCACGACCGGCCCGTCCCTCAGGAGCCCAAAGATGGCGCCCGCAACCGCGGCCGTGGAACGGCCGGCCACCCCCGACCAGGGGCACCCGCAGGGCCCCCTGCCCCCGGGGGGCGGCTTTTTCCAGGCCCGCTCCAGGACCAGCGGCCACACCGAGAGGGGGAGCGGTGGGCGCCGGAAGGGGGATCTTCCGCCAACACGACCATGCGGCTCGGAGAGGCCCTTTGTGAGGCAGCGGCCCGAGTGGTTGGCCAGGAGGAGGGCCTCGACCTTGTCGTCGAGGGTGGGGGCCCCTTTTCTCCGCGGAAGTGCCGGCCCTTGCGCTTCGAACCCCCGGGGGCCCACGGAACCAGGGAGGAGGAGGTCCCCCTTGCAGACCGGGCAGGGCAGCGGCCTTCGGGAGCCGGGGAAACCYKGRCACCGGCGCTTGGTRCAGGGAATCCAGGCCCCGCCGGGGGAGGGCGCTCCGCCCACGCGGGTCAGCTCGGGAAAGCCCCYKAGGAGGGCCAGGAGGACCTCCCGGTCGTCGGTGGCCGGYGGGGTCCCCCCTGGGGTCCCGGCGGGYTCCCCGCTGCCCCGGGTCTTGGTTCGGCGGGCCGAAGACGGCCCCAGGACCAGCCGGCGCAGCCGCGATGCMAGCACGGAGCCGCCGGGAGGCCCAAGCCGGGAGGGGAACCCCGAGAGGTCGGCGAGCCCGTGCCCCGGGAGGTGGACCGCCTCGAGCCTCGGAAAGAGGGGGACGACCCCCCGCAGGAATTCCACCGGATCCAGGGGCGGGACGGCCAGGGAGACCTCCTCCAGGGCCGGGCCGYKGGAAAGGGAATCCGGGCMWGGGCCCCTTGCGAGSGAGGCGAGGGCCGACCGKAGGAGGGCCCMKGGGCACCGCTGGTCCGGCGAACGGACCGRTKCCGCCACCGACCGGCGGCCGCTCCCGCCGTAGGGTGCCACCTTGGCGAGCCGGAGGCACACCAGCGTCTCCGACACCCACGGGAGGAGGACCCCCAGGGCCGACGCGAAGCCCTCCCCCCCGAGGCCTCCCCCCCGGACCTCGAGCCGCTCGATCGGGCTCGCCCGAGACCGRCTCCCGCGCTTGAGCTCCTCCCGGTGGGATTCCTCGGCGGACACCGGGTCCCGCAGCTCGCCGCAGTGGGCCAGCCTCAGGTGCTCCAGGCAGGGGAGGCCGAAAAAGACCTCGGACGGGACCGAGTCGCACCCGTCGAGTCGGAGGGTCCGGAGGCAGCTCAGCCCGGTGACGTCGGCCGCCGAGAGGTCCCAGGACGGGAGAAAGACCGAGGAGATGCTCGTGACGTGCAGGTGGGTGATCCGACCGGGTCTCTCCCTTTCGTGGTTGCTCTGGGCATCCCTGTGTGTTTCGCTGCCGGTGCTTTGGCTTGCGCGGTTTCGCAATCTCTTTCGTTTGGTGTGGTCGGTCGGCGATGCGGTGCCCGGCGCTGGCCCGGGACTCTCCCCCCGCTCGAACCTCGCAAAATCCCGGAGGACGGAACGGTAGGTCTGATCCGCCGTGTAGAGCAACCGGATCGCGATCAAAGCATCTCCCGCGTCCATTCCATCGGGGACGTCCACCGCCATGGGGTCCTTGGTTTTCTTTTGCATGGGTGGTTCCGCTTCCGGCATCTTTTGTTGGTTTGTGTTGCGACGGTGCCCGGAGGCACGAAAGCTCGATTTCCCCCCCCCCTCCCGGCGATGCGGCGGCGGGGTTGTTGCGGAACCGAGGTGAAATCCGAGCACGAGAACACAAATCCAAAACGAGAGAAAAAAGAGAAGAAAGAGTGTCATCGGTTTGAAAATTTCGATACGTGTACGTACCCTGCCACACGGCAAGCGTATCTGCACATATCTTCCTCGACGCACTCGCCCCACGCGCTGCAATTCGTGATTGGAGAAGAAACACGTTTGAAACGAAAGGGAAGCACGTTTGAGAATTCTGCTTTCGGTACCAGTACATCTACGTACCTCCGTACCAACCGTACAAGTCTGATCGATTCGTGGGTCTCCGCCGTCTTTTTTGTTCTGCTTCGATGCGCGTGCCGGGTTTCATCGATTCACACTTTCGGCACGTGATCGATTGGGAAGAATTCCAAACCCGAAGCCGGCGCATGCGTTCGAAGCGCAGCGGATTGGCACACCGATCCCCACCTCCCGTGAAAGAAATGAACCGTCGCCGTCACCGGTTCCCATCCCCCCTGCGAAAGAGGATGGAAGACGAGAAGCAAACCATCCGGTTTGAGGTGCTGCGGCGATTCGCTCCGGCGCACTCTTATTTGGACAAGAGATCGGCATCCGTCGAACGCAAAAAAAAACAACCAGGGACCATGGTGGCTAAGAAAAAGATCAACCGGAAAAAGACGGGCAAGGACGAGCAGGAGGAAAAGCGGTAAGCCATCGTCCCAGGTGTCGTTCCGAAAAGGATTCACGCACCCATTTCTCAAAACTGCTTTTTGTTTCTCCTCGGATAGAATCGTCGTCATCGACCAAGACAAAGTGAAACCGAATTCCGAAGCCTTCAAGTACTTCAAACGCCATGCCGGTGGCTGCGGGAAACAGGGCTGCATCTCCATTATTGGCAAGAAGGTTGTGGTTTCAGAATACGCCTGTGCCGTTTGTGTCAACCGGTGCAAACAGGCCCCAGGCGACGCCGTTTCGGTGGTCAAGCTGCCCTCCAATCTCACCACGGACACAACCCATCGGTACGGTCCCAACACGTTCAAGCTGCATGGACTCCCGGTACCCCGACCCGGTCACGTACTCGGGTTGCTCGGAACGAACGGAACGGGAAAATCTACGGGCCTCAAGATACTGGCCGGCCGTCTGAAACCAAACCTTGGTATCTATGCGGGATCCTCCGAGGGAAGCCCCCCCGAGTGGTCCGACATTGTGGCCTACTATCGTGGATCGGACCTGCAAAACTACTTCAAGGGACTCGTCAACGACAAGCTRTCGATTGCCATGAAGCCTCAACTGGAAGCGAGGTTTACGAGGGCCCTAAAAGGAAAGACGGTAAGGCACCACATGGAAATCCGGGACGAGCGAAAAATGATGGATCGATACGCAAAAGACCTGGACCTGCTCCATCTCCTGGACCGAAACGTGGAAGACCTGAGCGGGGGAGAACTCCAGCGCTTCGCCGTTGCGTGCACCCTCTGTCGGAAGGCCGACGTCTACATGTTCGACGAGATCAGCTCCTTCCTCGACGTCAAGCAGCGGCTCCAGGCCACGACGCTCATCCGCTCCCTGGTGCACGAACAGGAATCTCAAGTCGAGGAGTGGCCCGGCGAAGCCCACGCGGCTTCAAAAAAGTACGTGATCGTAGTGGAGCACGACCTGGCGATTCTCGATTACATGTCCGACTTCATCCAGTGCATGTACGGAACGCCCGGGGCCTACGGCGTCGTAACGGCCCGCAGCCGGGTCCGGAACGGGATCAACCAGTTCTTGGCCGGGTATATCGCCACGGACAACATGCGGTTYCGGGACCACGAGCTGACCTTCAAGGTCACCAGCATGGATTTCAATGCCTCKGGCAACAACGACGACGGCGACGAAGAAGAAAAGAAGGACGAGGGGAAAAAGAGAAAGGACGACGAATCCTCGTCGGGGAACGTCCTGCGATACCCAAGCATGAGTCACACCCGGTCTCGAAAAAACGAAAAGGGCGAGATCGTCTCGTCGTTTACCCTCCACGTAGAATCGGGATCCTTCCGGGACGGTGAGTGCATCGTTCTCCTGGGTGAGAACGGGACCGGGAAGACTACCTTTATGGAACTTCTTGCCGGAAAGACCCGAGAGCAGCGGGGAAAGGAAGCAGCGATTGGTTCCTACGATGCCGACCACTACAAGGGCGGGGATCACAAACCCAGCCTGGCCGCCCTCGGGGTGTCCTACAAGGTCCAGGGCATGAACCCCAAGGTCCGAAAATTCGGGGGCACCGTCCAGCAGTTCCTGGAGCAGGAGATCAACCGGTCCCTGTCGGATCGGCTCTTCCGACTCCTGGTCCTCCGGGCCCTGAACCTCGAGGAACTCTTCGACCTACCCGTACGGAGCCTGAGCGGCGGAGAAATGCAGYGCCTCGCGATCTGCGTCTGCCTTGGAACACCGGCACTGGTGTACCTGATCGACGAGCCCAGTGCCGCCCTCGATTGCGAGCAGCGGATCGTCGCGGCGAAGGTCATGAAGCGGTGGGTGGTCAACCACCTGGGGAGGACCATCTTCCTAGTGGAGCACGATTTTGTCATGGCCTCCGCCATGGCCGACAGGGTCATCGTGTACCAGGGCAGGCCCGGCATTGAGGCCACCGCGGGGTCGCCCACGTCGCTCGCCGACGGCTTCAACCGCTTTCTGGAGAATCTAGACGTGACCTTCCGGAAGGACCCCATCAACTGTCGGCCTCGGATCAACAAGAAGAACAGCCGGATCGACAAGATCCAGAAGCAAAACGGAGAATACTACATGTTCGATATTGTCGAAGGAGGGGACGAGGACATMRACGACGACGACATCTAGCGTTGTTTCTTAGCGAGCGACGAATCGAACGCACTAGGCCCAACTTACGACATCAAAAACTATTTCAGCTAAGCCATAATTCAACTAAATTGCGCACAACTAACCTATGAGCCATCGTGGTATGAATACACTCTTTCTACAGGGTTTAATCGACTATTGTCAATCCTATTGGTTTGCCTTTCCGCAGGGGCTTCGTGACCACTCTTGCAGGATCACCGGTGCCATCACCTTTCGGAGGAGATAATAGACCCCGGTGGCGCCGTCCCCAGCCCTCGGTGTGCGGTTCGGGGTTGGCTTGCCGTATTTTCCAGCTCGTTCCAAAACGCGGGGCCAGACCGACAGCGGTATCGCCGTGGATGGAACACCTGGGGGCAGTATATCGTTCTTGCGGTCGGKTCCGCTTGGAGGGCGGGGCTCTACCAGGACACGACMGGCGTGGTTGATCTCGAAGAGGTACGGCACCAGTGTCTTTCCGTGGGCTGCGTGAATGTCCCCAGTGTCTAGGTTCCACCCATAGATCCCCTCCACGACAGACAGCTCCCGAAATGCCGTGAGGACCGTGGCAACGGCCTCTTCCTCGGCTGGATCGTTCATTCGTTTCTTCAGCTTCTTCGCCTGCATGTGGGTCTTGTAATCGGGCTCGGGCTCGCAAACCAGTTTGCGAAGCCTGCAGCGGCTGTCGTTGCTCCACGGTGTTTCCCGGATCCGTTCGGCGGCCCTCCGAAAACTCTCCATTCTGTTCTGTTCCAGCATGCAGCCGACCCGGAACACCCGTAGGTTCGGGAGCCTTGGCAAAACGTCCACAAACAAATACGCCAGATCTTCATCACTATTAACCACAGCAGCTCTGCTGATGTAAAGGTTTTCTAGGTTCAGGTGTGGCACCCATCCGTTGCTATCATGGCAGCGGATGGAAGTTCCGTCGGTAGTGAAACAGGACACGTCAAGGGTTCTAAGATTTCGGAGGTAGCGCAAGGCCTCGAACAATTTAAACCAACGGCAGCGTTCCAACTTGAGCGTTTCGAGATCAGAAAGTCTTGTATATAGATCCGTAATCTGGCTTTTCTTGTTCGTCGTCAGCTCCCATGGATGGCAAAACGGATAGCTATCCCAGGATCCGATGCACAATTTGGTAATTCGACGTCGTCGTGTTTCAGTTTTATCGCTCCGAACACCACCCAAACATTCAAATTTTGTCTCCTTCTTCAGGTCAAGAACAGCCCTGGGGTCCCTTGTCGATATCCGAGATTCCGGCACCAACTCGGTTGCGACGAGAATGGAAACCACGGTGACGGCATCTTCCTCGTCGATCAGCGTGTGTTTTGGGAGCACGCAGTCTTTCACATACGATCGAATGAGTATTTCTTGATCGCTATTCAGTGTGATCATAATAATTTGCCGAAATATGACGTCAMGCTTTCGGATTTTCTAGGGGATTGGTTTGATTCGAAGCTCAGAAAATACACCTTGRAAGACGGTGATGTAATTGGTCATCAATACTACAGCACGGTAGAAAAAACAGGATCACAGAATTTTTGTACAGACAGTTTCATTTTGTCTCTCAAAAGCGCGTACAGACAATGGGTGATTCCCGTTATTATAGATGTGCTAAACTGGTAAATCTGGCATTTCCATCATAAATTTTATTACATTTGAAACGACTGAAATGAGCTGTTCAAATGTAATAAATTTTTGTTATAAATGTGCTACTTTTGATAGACAGACAGACCAAAAAGTAGCACATCTATAATAACGGGAATCACCCAATATCGTGAATTAATGATTTTTTATTCCGCTAACACAGAAAAGGGCCCAATCGTATCTCTCGGTTTAAAAAAATTACTGTACCGTACTTTACTACAATAATACCAGTACCGGTAGAGGGAAACGAGAAATGTGTACGATGCTCGGGCTTCGTAAATTTCTCCCCTCAAGACGACACGATCGACTAAAATATACTTGGTGTCAATCACGTGTCTCAAAATGCTCGTCGATTATTCTTCAAAAACTAAATCGTACATGTAACTACAGTACGTAGGAAGTACTTTACTTGCTTACATCTTCGTAGTACGTATGCACTCGTATAGTTTCAATTCAACTTGTCGTACGTTTCCATTAACGATCGTACTGGTACTAATTCGTTGGAGGGTATCCATGGCTCTTCGACCAGGAAGTCCGACTCGGATTGTTATCCACTACAAGTGCACAACATAGTCTCGCTACGGAGAGAGACTTATAGATACGGATAGACTAGAAGAAATCCTACCGTTTCATGAACGTCGCGAAACATTACTGCCGTCTTCGATCTAGGCTGTCGCTGTCACAGCGGGTGTCCGTTAACTGTCTCCGGTTTCCCGCGGCTGCCGTTACAAATCTTCCCAATCGAGTGCAATTCCAAGTCGGCGCATTTTCTGCGACCAGGAGCGCCTTCTTCTCTTCGTCGCCCATCATGGGCAAGAGCAGTAAGGATGGAAACGACCTTCCACCGAAACCAAAGGCACTGTTTCTAAATTGCACCAGGCTGGACTACGACAAGAACCTAAACTTCGAGGGGCTTTCCGCCATCACGGACTTTCATCGCCACGATGTTGACGCGATTCCGCCCAGGGGGGACCCACCTGACGAAGCTTCCGAGGACGAAATCGTGCGGCTAGTCAACGAGGTCCACGCCGGAACGGAGATTCTGATCCTGAAAGAAATGCAGCTGCCCCAATCCGCCGTCGAACGTTTCTCGGGTTCGGTCAAGCTCATCTGCGAGGCAGGGACGGGATACAACAACATCCCCATCGAGACCTGCCGCGGGAAAAACATTGCGGTCTGTAACATCCCGACGTACAGCACCGACGCTGTGGCACAGACCGCCATCACGTACATAATGAATTTCGCCATGAACGTCTTTGAGCAGCAGCGGATGCTCTGCAAAAACGACCGATCAAATTTCACCGGTCCATTTACGTTGCCCCTGATGGAACTGGCGGGAAAAACCCTAGGTCTGGTGGGGGGATCGGGGCGGATTGGCACCAGAGTCGCCGAGATTGCCCTCACACTGGGGATGAAGGTGATCATAAGTCGCCGTGGTGTCGCGTCCCTGCCTGAGTCCCACGCACTTGCGGGGAACACACGCGTCACCGTGACCACCGATGTGGGCGAGCTCCTCGAGGCATCGGATTTCGTCAGCCTCCACGCGCCCCTTAACGCCGAGACGGAGGGGACCTTTGGTCGAAGCGAGGTCTCCAGGATGAAGCCCACCGCCTATCTAATCAACACCTCCAGGGGTAAGGTCTGTGCGGAGGAGGAGCTCCTCGACTGCTTGGAGGAGGGACTCATCGCTGGGGCGGGTCTAGACGTGACGGCCTCGGAGCCGCCCGCCCCTGACTCGAGACTGTGGTCGCTTAMCAACGTTTGGCTGAGCCCTCACATCGGCTGGAGGCGSCTGGAAACCCGGCAGCGGTTGGTGAACATGACCCTGGACAACGTCGCCGCCTACRTTTCCGGGAAGCCTATCAACCTCGTGGGTTAGGTGGTGACCAAGAATCTGAGTTAAATATTGCATTCCAGCAATGCATTACCAGCGAAGCACAATCTTCCGGTCTTACCAATTGGAACATTTAGTGTTTTACTCCGTTCAAAAACTATTTCGATTAGAGCTATTCCCATGGGACGTGTTTCAACAATGCCTAGGGTTGGGTAAGTACAAGAAAGTTACTTTAGCCAGGCGCTATAGATAATGACTGCGCAAATGTATTGTAGCCGTAAAGGACAAGGCCAATCGGAGTCTACTTGCCTACGTACTTCTACTCAATATTGAAACCAAAAACGGCTTTGGATTTCAGGTTTTGAAAGCGGAAGAGGCAAGAATAGACGTTAGTACATCGTGCTGTAGAAGGTGCACAAAGTCTCCAAWAGGTAGTACGGTACTCGTACCATTGAAGGAAGGACACTAGACACAATAACATTAGCATTTCGATTGATACCATAGTTAGTATCATGTSGTAGTCGTGATTCAAAATCTTCGAAAAACAACGGTACTGAAGCTTAAACAATTTTACTCGCTGGTGGTCTATGTTTCAGGAAATTTCACGAATAATATTTTGTATTGCCTTGTGATTATCCCACTCAAACTGACGATTAAAAATATCGAAATGAAGGATTAGTGTTTGAAGTACTGTAGGCACCCKGCCTACCGTACGCWACGGTCTTGTCCTTTCGACCGATCAATCACATTATACGTCAGCTCGTTTTACGACTAGTGCCCAATACTATAATCCTACTGAACTTGAAGATCAAAGAAAAATTATTGTACTTTATCCGTTTGAGAAAACCTACCATTTTATCACTTATTGCCCTAATAAATCATCCCACTGAAACTGTTGGTCGCAACTGTCATCGGAAGAATTGATGTTTTGGATTCTTGGTAGGATTTATTGTGGAAAACCATGCTCAGTGCCTTCCCCTTTCTTTGAGAATTTAAAATAGTTGAGTGGCAATCACAACGATCCTACTTCAAATCAAAAAGCTATTCCCTCGACTTTATTGTCACAATCAGGAAACGACAACGACAACGAAAGCACTTGCTGCGAAATCACGAATGAACCACCAGACGACATCCAATTGTCATAGCTCGTCTTTTTTAGACGAAAGCGGAGAAACAAGAGGTACATAATTATTATCATCTTATTATAACAGTTGCGTCGTGCAATGAGATTGTTCTTGAACAGTGGCCACGTGGTGAATGCCTGTGTCACCAAATCAACGCCGTCTCAGCCAGTGGGCTTGGCTCTCGAGAAGATCAAGACACCATCCCCGACCGGGTGGGGAGAAATGAAAATATTGCGCGTGAGTAAACTCAGCAAAAAAAGTATCTTTAGAAACTCTAGTGTTCCGGTTCATGTCGGAGATCGAGTGCTGGAAGTCAACGGTATACCAGTCAACGATCGAAAAAAATTTCCTAACGGTGTCAAGGATATCAACGAGTTGATACGACAAACCGAAAGTGTTCTCCAAATCACACTGTGGAAGGAAGACGACGTCAGCTGTGGTGGGGAAGCGAAACCAATGGTCAAGACAGTTCAAGAAAAATGTATATCGCCCACCTCAAACGAATGCAAACCATCGCCATCGAGACCTATCCGAATACAGTCGAATCCTCGTGAGATTCCAGACAACCAAAAATCTCAGAGAAGTTCGGTTTGCAACAAGAATCCCTTCAAGTCTCGCTGGGACACGAAAGAGCAAGTCGTAGAGGTTCAAGACGATGGAGAACTTGTTTCTCACTCGTGTGAGAAGAAACGCCAGGAACACACTACTACTCCCATGCAATTAAAACTCTCCCCTGCATTAGAGCCATGGCCCTCTCAGCAAGAAGACAAAGAACAATGCTCAGTATCGTCGTCCACTCGATCGTCCTCGCACTGCCTGACGAACCTGATCGACCCGGGGGATCTCATGGAGCTCGACGGCTTCGAGAACCGATCCGAGCGGAACGGTATGACAGTTCAAGTAGTGCACAGAGATGACGAGGGGACAACAAAAAGAAACCCTAGCCACCACCAGAGACGAAAAACAATGTGGATCGTCCGGCTGGTAAGCAACGCGGATGGGAGTACCACCGGCATCGGCCCAAATCAACTAGTAGCGGTACCCGCGAAACACTTGAGGCATTTTGTGTAGGAAAAATGAATAACTGCACGCATAGTACTGCATACAACTTAAAAACAAGTAGTAAAAGGAATTCAACTCAGATCATTCACATGAGTTAAAAGGTTTCTTTTGTGAGGTCTTTTACTTTCAAATGATGAAGATAGTAAAAAAACTTACAAGGACATCATACTATTTATCTAGAAATGCAAAGCTCCTCATGTCCTAATGCTACTACTACTAATAGTAGCCCAATTTGAGTTGTAGAAGTAGTAGTGGTAAAAGAGGGGGGGTAGTAGTAGTACTCTGAGTAGTGAAGTGATATCATGTGGTATGGCCCATCATAATGAGTGTTTGAAGAGAAAGACAGTAATAGTAGTATTACCATTCTTACTAGTACATACTAATACTAGTACTTGCATACTTCCATATGTGAAAGTTCATCACCCAGCAAAATATTGTTGGACCCCCACAAGACAATGAAGCAATTAAAATATTTTTCTTGATTGCTACTAACACACTGGTACTAGTACTCTACTAATGGTACTCTACTACTAGTAGTACTACTTAGTACATCATTCCACCCATCATTCCACCCACTCAGTACTAGTACTATACAAGCAATATCACAAGAAGAAGAAAAACAATAAACATAAAAATTATTGTTTACTAGTAGTACTACTAGCTACTGGTAATAAAATTCATGGCATCTAAAAGTTGATGTTATTCAAATGCTTCTTGTTACAAACAGCAAGAAAAATATTGCAACATCTGGAAGCACTCCTTGACACTATGCCCTCCTTCCTCATACTAGTAGTACCACTACTACCTACTACTACTASTACTASTASTASTASTASTAGTAGTAGTAGTAGTAACAATCCCTGATGACTCCCTTAATTCATTGATATGTTTGCATAATTTTCCTTCTTTGTCATTTCTCCTAAAAAAAATAAAGTAGCTCTTCCTTATTGGTTATTGTTCAGACTGTAGAAATTCCCAATTACTAGTAGTACAATGCTGATCCTTTCAACTCTATGAAGTCCACCAGGTATCCACTTCAGAAACTCATAACCATATACAAAGTACTAATACCAAGTCAGGCTAAGATTTAACCACGAGAGGTGAAGTTCCAGTAGTACCAGTGGTCTTTTTCTCACTCTTCTTTATTGCTTTATCTTCTTGTACCTTAAAAAGTCAGTACAGGCAACTATGGGGTTGGTCTGCTAGGCTTTGATGTCATCTTCCTAGTAGAAAAAAATGCATTCAAAGAGGTAGGGGAAGCAGAGCCTCCTGTTGGAACTCTTGAGAACAATGATTGACTCCTGTTGGTGAAGATATTCCAATTATTTTTTGCAGAGCGCTGCAAATAGAAGTCAAATTTTGATTTTTTTTTTTGTTGCATACTAGCATATCAACAAACTCTGTCTCCAAATTGGTTCTGATATGCCATGGGGAGTTGTTCATGGTAGGGGGGTCCAGGACATTTGATAGGCCCCAATAGCAGCTATCAAGCAATCCAAATTATCTAGGTGCTCGACCAGATGCCCATGGTATTCATTGTAGAATCTCAAGGCRTCTACTGTCCTGTTCCTTCTTGTCCTGTCACAGGTGTTATAAAATGAGGAGGAGGGCATTCTTCTCCCAAGTCTCTAAGGTAACCTATTGGGTTAGCTTGATATCAAAGAAAAAGTCCAGCCAATCTAGTAGTCTCTGGTGGGATATCCATAATGATGTTAGTTACTAGGAAGTAGCAAGGATGTTAGTTACTAGGAAGTAGCAAGTTCATCCCCCAAAAGAAACATATTGGTGGGGAAATGTACTGTAAACCCTATCGGTCCGTGCTCATGCTATGATGAGGGTAAGTGAGTGGCAGAAACCATGATACACTTGTACAAAGAGCAGAATGGAGTAGAAGTCCTTCCAGAAAGTCCTCAACCAGGCAGATAAAATTATTCCCACTGGGCCAGGAGTGTCTAAGCCTCAGAACTAAGAGTAGATGTGTAWGAACATCACAACATGATTGGTCAGCTCTGAGATCATTTCTTTACCAATTTTCCACATACATATCACCGGCGTATATGTTTTTAGGAAGCACTTTCAGTGGTACTAATGACTCTGAAGTCTTGCTGAAAGTACATATTTTCATCCCATTTTTAGAAATTGGAATCCTGTATAATTGGGCACTAATTTGGCAAGATTCCAGTGGCACCAACATGAATGAGATTTAAAACTTTAGTAGCGTGCACCTGTTGAACAGACTGAATATGTTCAGTCAAGGATTTCAAAAAATATTTATGTCAGATACACAGATCCTGGTTGTCCTGGGCCCACAACAACAAAAATTATGTATTTTGATACATAAAAAAGCTGGCTGGTCTCAAATTTACATATTCCTATGTTTGTGGGAATCACCCATCAATTTTTCCCAGTACGAAAAACATGTAAAATTATATGAGTACATTAATTACAATATGTGGCAAAAAGTGTATGCAACCAGTAGCGACTGCTTCCATCCTTTTTTTAGAAAATACACACCCCATTTTTTCATGCGTCCACCAAACCTCAGGTATAGCAAGGTTTTGGTTGTATTTAAACCTGAACGTAGTTGCGAGGGTTGTGCTGGGTTGTTACAGAAAACCAGTGCAACTTCTGTTCCAAGGTAGAAGCAACCCCAAGTCCMACCACTGTTATGTTCACCGTTATCAAACCAGATTTTTAAAAAACATTATTCTGTAGTCGTTTTCTTTACCATTATCTTATTCTGCTGACCATGGTGACCTTGCCATCTGCTTCTCTCTACTTCAGTATTGCCTTTGTTTTTATTTGTTCTCACACAATACATAGTATTCATCATGATTACATTTCAAATGACAACTTTGCTTCTTGYTTGCGTATAGAAACCATTCACACATTCACTATTTGAAATCTAACCACAACAATTGTGCTCATAATCACCGYTGTTTTACAAACAAGCAATATTTCACAATTTACAAAAACATGATGGGGTCATCCATTTTTTGCTGCCATTCTCATCATATTTGTTTGCAACTGCACTGCAACAATGCCCAACATATCTCGCATGGATTCATCCAAACCTACTAGTAAAGGTTCTTCATGTTTGCCACTGAAGTCAAAGGAACTATTGAAAGGAGAGATCTCCATCCAACAGCTTTGCTCCTCCACACACAAGGATCTTATTTCCTTCTGTGACACAGACAACAAGCTTAAGGAACACAGGAGMAAAATAGACCTGCTCTTTGCCACTCATCTAGAGCAATTAATTCCGGGCTATCTCCAGGACATGGTCAACAATGTGCTTGTTTCAACCCACATGACCATTACCTGCATGGAGGCAAATCAATTATCCCTATTGCAATCAACATGCAAGAAATTGTTTGCTGTCTCACAAACATGGAATCAATGGGCAGATCCTCACAATGTCAAGTCTTTCACAAAGAAATGACCTGCTTGGGTCAAGTTTCTTGCCAACGTACTAGTAGTAGTGTACATTGAGAAACTCAAGTTCTTCATGACGATTCACCATCCATACATCTCAAGAGTTTGTATGATTTGAATATCCAATTGTATTGTGGTACTCAACAAGAAAGGTGTTAAATCCTCTGTTATTGAGTCTCTCCTGGRTACAATTCACAAGTCCATCTCTGACATGAACAGCCACATCAGCCAAAACAACATTCTTGTGAATAAACTGCTCCACTTGTGTACTAAAGAGAACTTATATCTTCATTGTGATCCAACCAAATGCAAACCTGATAAATATTTATTGGATCTTCTCAAGCAATCTGAGAATTTACTGTCACCCATAACCACAATCCCCCACTTTTCAACTCCACGGGTAAAACAGATATCACAGATATCACTGCACCTTGTTTTACTTTCATAATAATTGTCAGTTTTTAGCAGCAATTTATATTGTTGTCTTCAATACTTCCTAGTCACATCCTTCCTCTCCCCATCCCACTCATACTCTCTTTGCTTTCACTGCCCTCGCCATATTCATTGACTTCCTCTGACAAAATGTCTTCATGCAGATTTTCACCATTGCTTTTAGCTTCATCACACATTTCACTGGTGGCCCTCCCAATTCTATTTTTGTCTTCAAGCTTGTTTTGGAAGAAAAATAGCCACTCTTCTCGCCTCTGGACAACAAACTATTCTTTGGATTCCTCTCAGCCTTCTTCTTTGATGGGCTTTCTATCATCACTGGGATCAGTAACGGCATTGTTCAGTATATGATCCTTCATTGTTGATTCAAAGTGGGGATATATTGTTTCTGCAAATCTCAGGAAGAGATGCTTGGTGGTATCAGGATCAAGATTGCTCATGGTGGATGAAAGAGCCTTGAGGTGTTGCTGTCGCCCWTGCCTTGAGGTGAGMCACTAGAATAGCTACTGGTGGAAAMAAATTGCTGTTGCTGTCAATTTTGCTTGCTAGTACTAGCCTCTGGAATAGCTATTGGTGGAAACAAATTGCTGTTGCCGTTGTTTTTGCCTTGTTCCTTCTTGGTTGCTTGGTTTCCCTTGCCTTGAAGTGAGCCACTGGAGTAGCTATTGGTGGAAACAAATTGCCTTTGCCCTTGCTGTTGCCCTTGCCTTGAGGTGAGCCACAGGAATAGCTATTGGTGGAAACAAATTGCCTTTGCCCTTGCTGTTGCCCTTGCCTTGAGGTGAGCCACAGGAATAGCTACTGGTGGAAACAACAAGTTGCTGATATTTAGATCATGGTTGATGGTGCTTGCTACTAGCCCCTGAAAAGGGTATTTGTGGAAACAAGAATACTTTGCTTGCTGGATCCTTGGAGGTAATAAGMTCATGGTTGATTGTTCTTGGCACTGGCGCTTGAAAAAGCTATTAGTGGAAACAAGAATACAGGAATCTTTGCTTGATTCCGTACAGACACTTAGATTGCGGTCAATGGTGCTTGCTACCAGCCCCTGAAAAAGCTATTTGTGGAAAACAAGAGTACAGGGATCACCATTGCTGTTGCCTTTGCTTGCCATTGCCTGGTTTCTTGGAGTTGGTTCTTTTGCGGTCAATTGTGCTTGCTAGTAGTAGCCCCTGAAAAAGCTATTACTGGTAT